TCTGCCTATAATGCCATGAGGATTTCCCCTTACATGACCAGAGGCGGTGGGGTAGCCAAATGGTTAAAGCGTTGGCTCGTCACGCTGAAGACCCTGGTTCGAATCCCCACTTGGGTACAATGTGTGAAGCTCATTTCTGGTGTTCCCCGCCGTGATGTTGCTGGAATATTGCTAAAAGCGGCGTAAAACCAAACTCAGTCAGTCAGTCAGTCTTACATGACCACTTATGAACTATGGAACACACAGATGTCTCTCTGGAGCTGAGGATTATATGGAAACTTCGGAGAGCTTCAATTTTTATCTTCGTGTCTTGGTTTCTCCATCTCATTTCTCCTCTTATAGCAAAATTTGAGTCATTTCTTCTCACTCCTAAGAAGAATCTACACACTTTATTCTGTATATATCTTATTTCTTTATACATATGAATTACGCACACTTGCACTATAGATAAGTATTGGGTGCACATAACTATCAAACAGTTTTGTATGCACTGCATGACTCAGACCTTCTAGATGAAAAATAACTCCAAGTGCTCTGTTCGCTGCTTTACATATTTATGTATCTGTTTTCTGGTGGTCCCGAAATTGGTTAATCCACATTCCAAGATATTTATATTTTGTACAATGATCAATGTCAAATTTCCCCATTTTAACTGAGTATCACATCAGGGTGTTGAAGCTGTTCTGCAGTGCATAATGTTGTTTTGTCTCTGTTCACTTTTAGCTTCCACTTCTGAGACTACTGATGTAGACAGTCTAGTAGTTTTTGTAAACTTTTCCTCTTTGGGCGCAATGAGAACAATGTCATCAGCATACAAAAAGAATGATATATTGATAGAGTCAATGCCTATTCCACTATGAAGTTCGCTTAATGCATCTGCTAAGTCATTAATACGAGGGACAGTCAAAAAGTAGTTGGCCTGACCTAGTAAATGATACAAATACAGCTGTTTTTATGTTTTATTTTTCTACATATTATCTGTCCATAGGCATAGGAACAGTTTAAAAGTTTGGGGGGAGGGGCAAGATTTCGAAATTGATAACAGGTAGTGGGGTGCACGTGGAGAGAGGAGATATATGAAAAGGACAGGCGAGTTCACTTGCTTTGCAATTTCTCCACAAAGAGTGTCCCAGCCCTTGTCTGCAGCTTTAGAATACTTCACAAGAAGGTCTTTATAATAACTTATTAGGGCTCCTTGCCTTTAGGCAGGAGACCTATTGTAATCGTTCGTGTTTTTTTATTATTATTATTTATTCTTCCGCAGTATTTTGTACCAGCCCTACAGAGAGCACCGCTGGACAGAATGCCTTGACAAAAATCACCCAGATGCCCACCGAGGTGTAGATATCGCGTTTTAAAATCTCAAGGCTGTAGGCCCAATAGCAAAGGGCAGATAATTCAAAATTAATTCAAAAATTTCAATTTCAAATGCAAGTATCTCCAAAACTAATGCTCCAATGTGTGCCAAAGTTCTTGAGCAGATGCGCACTCAAAATGCCTACAATTTCGCCTGGACGGCTCAAGTCGCTAAAATGCACCGTTTGGCCGCTATGTTGAATTGAAGTTTTTGGTGATGTTTTTCAGCAAAATGCTGACTACTTTCCTCCCAAAATGTGCTGCACTGAAACTACAAGAGCTACGGCTTTCAAACTTTGCATACTTTGTGTCTATGCACCTTACTACACAGTAGCATCGTCAAATGTGGCTCTGTGGATGTGATGACCGCCATATTGAACGCTACTTCTGGGCAAAATTTGTCTTCAAACACTTCCACGGGCTTCTTTGCCATGAAAACTTTCCTTATACATTTTTTATGTCACTTCTGAAGAGCGCCATCAAATTTGCTAATCAAAACATCAGTGCAACATCATCCATGTGAATACAACGTATGGTAGCTAAAAGGGAAAAAAAACTATTTGAGACCTGCCCCGAATGAAAGAAAAAGAGTGCCAAACAAACTGAGCCACAACTCCAGGCAGAACACGCCAAATATCACGCAAGAAAGCTTCCAACAACGTTCCAGTCACAATAAATATGCTAACACTCAAAAAACTCAAAGTTTGGACAGATTTAATGAAATAGGGACTTCTTTATATCACCGACGGCCCAGGGATACGTTGCCGAATGTTTCAAAAGTTTCTCACACATTTACGACACGGCAGATTACCCGTGCGAAGCATGCGACAGTCTGAAGGAAAGTGGGAGGACGATTATGTCCGCTTGCAAAGCATGCGACAATCTGTAGGAAAGCGTGAAGACGATTGTGGCTGCTCCTTCACAGGTACTCGCGCTGTTTGTTATCGATTCCCCACAGACGCAGGCAAGTTTTACATGTTTATTCGCTGTGACAGCATGGATAGTAATGGAAAAAAGTCAAAATGAGTTTCATTTCAAAAACATATATTCATTGCAGTGTCATTTAAAAACAGACAAAGTCATAGCACTAAATTTAAAAGCGGCAATTTGTTAGTCGTATTACACATTTACAATTTATGATACAGATCAACTTTTCCTAACGTAGTTCACTATCAGATGAGCGCCCATGCGGGAGAACAAATATCTTCTATAAAGAGACTACCACTGCAAATCGTGGTCCACGTGCAGATATGGGAGACGATGTCAATTTCAATTGACAATGACGAGAGCTAGCGCTACACAAAATTTAAATACAGTGCAGTAGAGGTGTTATATCTTCACTGTAATTCAATCTTTTGTAAGGGGTATGTCTTTAGGCAGCTTTTAAACATCGTCAATGATTGAGTCTTCCGGGTCATGGTAAAAGCTGTGGTCTAAGGGGGCAACCCTGATCTAGCTGAAGGAAGCGCTAGTAAAATCGTTCAACACTGCCCACTCGCCGGCTTTACCATGCCCAAAGACTAATGCGCTTTCGGTAACATTTGGGTTTTGTGCAGTTTGCATGGATCTCAAAACTTCAAAGGTGATCTGTATCGAGGTGTTACGTGTATTCCCAGTATATATACCTGCTCTCGATTCACAAATTCAGTTCCAACAGCCCGAGTGTAACAGTGTGATGGATACTGATACAAACTACTGAAGTACCTTAACTGCTGTAAAATCACAAGTTCACTTGCGTGAGAGTGAGTGAGTTTAGTTTTACGCCGTACTCATCTGTATCCAAGCTGTATGGCGGCGGTCTGTAAATAATCGAGTCTGGACCAGACAATCCAGTGATTATCAGCATGAACATTGATCTGTGCAATTGGGAACCAATTACGTGTCAACTAAGCTCAGCGTGAGAGAAACTGTTGTGGATATTGGTACATGGTACGCAAATAAAGAGTACGGGCGCTTCGTGTCACATTTCAACTTGGCTGTTGTTGATATTTAAATGGAAATGGTATCTACACTCACGAAAATAAACACCATAAACAACCACATAAACACTAAGTACCTATCCCATGCCCACATCTACACATACGCATTCATTAATACTTACAAAAACACAGGCATAGGCATACATGTACAACAAACTCTCCCTTTAACGATAAAGTTACGCTATACTAACCATACTACATCAACACTGCAGAACTGACAGCAATCCTCACTACACTCCACTTAATACCCTCTCTACAGCAAACACACTTCCTTATACTATCCAAATCCCTCAGTCCTATTAGACAAATACACTATATGCACTCCAAATCACGTTCAGACATAATTAACAATATCGCACTGCAAACCGACTCACTTTAACAAAAAATATGCATTTGAACTGTAGTGTTACGGTAATGAATTTTAGCTGAAACTTGTATGAGTATTTTACGTTGGTTTTACACCAGTTGAACCACCAAAGTGAATGCAGTAAAAGAATCTTACGTGCACTAACGTTCTATATCTAATTCGACTTTGTCCAGTGTAATTTTTGTATTAGATCACTGGAAACGTTTGTTGTGTTGTTTGAGATACAATTACTGCTATAGTCATTTATTGTGAATCATAGTGATCTTTGCACCTTTTTCAGTTAAGATTGCCATTTTTAAAAAAAAAATTATTGTCAATTTGATCAGTGGCTTCTTCTGCCTTGAGATTCCTGTTTTACCCGAGACACCAAATGCTATTCTTATATCCAGATCCAGGAATGTAATTCAAGCTTTGCAAACAAATTATCTAATTTTACAGAACGTCCAGTAATCCCAGTTAAAATGTTTTCAAACAGCACCATCAATTTGTCAGAACTGGTGATGATGTCATCAAATCAGTAAAAAGAAATAAATTATTAGCAATTGAACGTGCATTATTCCCTTTCTTCGAATTTCTAATCAAGCCAACAGCTGTTTCCAAAGCCATATGTGCAATTACCGGAATGGGTTATGCGCGAGTTGAGAGAAGACGTGTTTTGAACAGCTCACACAATGGGCATCTGTTTGAACCAAGATCGAGCAAAAATAGGCTCGTTTAATCAAACCTGACAAACGCAAAACGTCGATTCATGGACTTAAAACCAAAAAATCTCTCATCGTGATGTCCCTGAGGCTTCTAGTGCTTTTTAGTACTCTGCTGGTGACATGTGGCTCGGTGGAGGCTAACCCAGGATCGGGACCCCACACCCGACAACAAACCCTAACAGGCGATCGGGAAGGCTCACTGGACATTGCTGCGGGTGGAAGGGAACCAAATGAAATCATCACGATGCTGACTGAAATGAAAGGTGACAATAATAAAAAACTTTGACATGCTTAATTCAAAAATAGACAAAATGGCGTCCGACTTTCCAATTCAACTCAACGAGCTACGCTCCGAGAATAGCGAATTGAGAGATAAATTAAGTTGCATGGAAGATAAGCTAGACGACCTGGAGTCACGAAGTCGAAGAAATAACCTGATTTTCACGGATTGAAGCCGATAGGTGATTCATACGAAACCTGGGAACAAACCGAGGATGTAGTGCGTGATTTCATGGAGGACTCGCTGCACATGAGCAGACAGGATATCAGCAACATCGTGATAGTAAGAGCTCACCGTCTGAATCCTACTAAAACTACTTCACCAATAATAGCAAACTTCATGAGAACATCTGATAAAAGTGCTGTCTACATGACAGGACTTCACTCAAAAATTCCGAGAAGAAAGACGTGCTCTTTCACCCTGGTTTGTCCAAGCTCGAGACGAAAACCGGAGGGTGAAAATCCGACACAACAAACTTATCGTAGACGGAGCTTCTTTTGTGTACGATAGAAGCAAGAAAGACATTGTTCAGGTTGCAGGTAGAACTTCCTCCTTCCCTCATTCACCTACAAGCCAACCCTCTTCATACACCGACGCAGCTTCAGCTACACCACGTGGATCTTTGTTTACACCATCAGCTGATCGACACACCCCCGGAAGCAGATCAACGGCAAGGGAGGCCACTCTCAATCCGAACAAATGAGGAAGTGGCCAAGGCCCTGATGTAAACAAACATGGAATAAATATTCTTGTCTGGAACATTGAAGGTTTGCATAAATACGACAATCCGTTATCTCCCATTAAAGAATATTGTGCCAAGTTCGACATTATTAGTTTCTGTGAGTCGTTCGTACGCAAAGCCAATGAGTTCAGCGAATTTATCGTCGGCTATACAACATTAAACTGTATGCGTGAAAAACTGCATCGGCTTGGCCGATATAGCGGCGGCATTACTGTTTTGATTAAGGACCACTTATTTTCCAGCGGTCTACACTAATTTCGAGAATTGTGTTGTGCTTCTGTTCTACACAACTAGTTATGGATGGGAAATGGACACTATTTTGATATTCCCATACTAGTATTTGTCGCCCGAAAACTCTCCCATATATAAGGGTAGTGACACTGATGGCATGTCAGTACTTGAAGATTATTTGTGCACAATCACTGCGGATCACCCTGACAAACATCTGTTTTTAGAGGGGGATCTGAATGCTAGAATGAAAGACTTCTTCGATTATATACCAGATGATAATATTGACTGTGTGTATGAAAATGATGATTATCCCAAAGATACATTTGATATGCCTCGATCTTCTAGAGATCAGGTTTATAATAATTATGGGAAAAAACTTGCTGAATTATGTTGCACTTTTGGCATTCATGCCTTAAATGGTAGATTAGCAAATGATTTATGTGGTCAATTCACATGCTTTACTTATAACGGTTGCAGTGTAGTTGACTACATGCTAGCTTCTTCGTCACTATTCCCTTTCATCACGCAGTTTAATGTCGGCACACTAGATAACTCCTGTCACTTTCCACTGTCATGCACACTTAACAGTAAACTCCCCTCCACTGCTTATTCTAATACGCTTACCTCAAACAGTAATGTACAAGAGGGTAAACAGGATAAATGGACAAAATATATGTGGTGCAAGGATGAAAACAGTGCATTCATTACAAACTTTCGGTCATTGTTTAATAATCAATACAGTCATTTAAATGCCCTCATCCATAACAATATCGACCAAGCACTTTCACATTTAGTAACTCTTTTCCAGAAAGCAGCTGATCACACAAAAACCGTATATAATGGTTTATTTCCTTCACAAACAAGAACTCAACCACCTTGGTGGGATCAGGACTTAGAAAACTTAAAGCATGACAAATATGCAGCACTCAGAGCGCATAGAGATCACAATGCAGACTTTAATATCTTCAGACGATTCTGAACTCTCTTCAAATGTACATTCAAGCAAAAAGATTAAATTTCCAAAATAAACAGAAAGATAAACTAGTAGCAGCAAGCACCAACCCTAAATTATTTTGGAAAACACTTAAAATTACAGATCTTCACCACAACTTTCACCCAATATCACATGCCAACAGTGGACAGATCATTTCTCAAATCTGTTATGCATTAATTCTTCGAAAAACACACCAGAACATTTACCTTCACCTTTACAATCTACAAGCAACAATGATTCTTTTTTGAACCAACCATTTTCTGAACAAGAAATATCTACAACTATTCTCTCTTTGCCAGTCAGTAAAGCCCCTGGTCCAGACGGAATTGCAAATGAATTTCTAAAGAAGTCGAGATGTTTCATTGTTCCTACTCTCACTGTTCTTTTCAACAGAATTTTATGACTCTGGCTATTTCCCTCCCAGTTGGGGTAAGAGCATTATTTGCCCTTTGTTGAAATCTGACGACAAGAACGACCCCAATAATTATCGTGGTATATCCCTCATTGATTCCCTTTGTAAATTATTTACATCAATTCTAAATAAAAGATTAAAAATCTGGTGTGATTTAAATAAGATCATTTGTCAATATCAGGCTGGCTTTAGGGAAAACTATTCTACAACAGACCACATTTTTACACTTCAGGCTGTCATACAGAAATATTCATGTAAAAAACAGGGCAGATTTTATTGTCTTTTTATCGATTTTTCAAAAGCTTTGGAAAATCTTAAACATGATATACTTATAGATTCTCTTCATAAGGTTGGATTAGATGGGAAGTTCTTAGATATTATCACATGTATGTATAATTCACTCTGTGCCTGCCTGAGGGACTTTCTAAGCAATTTTCTTGTAATGTGGGGTACCCGCCAGTGATGCATTTTAAGCCCTCAGATATTTATAATATTTATTAATCATTTATGCACAATTATGCAAAATGAAGGTGGTAAGGGAATATTTTTCAATGCTGTTTTTAAAAATCTGTATGCCCTTATGTTTACTGTTGATGTTTCGGCTCTTTCGGACACTTGTATTCAACTGCAGAAAAAGATAAATGCCCTTGAATTATTTTGCGAGGAAACAGGAATAAAAGTAAACCTTAAGAAAACAAAAGTGGTTGTTTTCAGAAATGGTTGGCCTCTTAGATCTTATGAAAAGTGGTATTTTAATGGGGAACAAATAGAAACAGTATCTTTTTATAAATATCTTGGCATCATATTTACACCAAAAGTTGTTTGGTCCAGGACACAATTATGTTTAGCTTCTCAAGCTAGAAAGGCAATTTTATCAATTAGTCACTTTCAAAGGAAATTCGGAAACATTAACTGTACAGATCTATTCAAAATTTTTGATGCACTGATCACACCAATATTATGCTATGGATCAGAAATATGGGGAACTTCCTATTGTAAAAGTATTGAATCGGTACAGCTTGATTTCTGTAAAAAGTATCTGAAAATAAATAGGTCATCTTGTAATTCCATGGCCCTGGGTGAATGTGGCAGATTGCCCCTGCAACTTAATTATATGACCCGAGTAATCAAATATTGGTGTAGATTGTTACAACTTCGTCATGACAGATTACCTTTTCAAAGCTACCTTATGCTCAAGTCTTTAGATGATAGTGGTAGAACTACATGGGCATCAAAAGTTAAAAATCTTCTGTTTAATTTTGGTTTTGGATATGTTTGGTTGAGCCAAGATGTTGGTGATGTAAAGATGTTTATAAGCTTATTTAAACAAATATTATCAGATAATTTAAAACAGTCCTGGTACTCTTCCCTGAGTAATTCTTCCAAATGCAACTATTATCAGTATTTTAAATCAGCGTTAAATGTTGAATGTTATTTATCGTTTAACCTTTCTACACATTTAAGAGCTGTTTTAGCACAATTTAGGTGTAGTAATTTTAAAATAGCTGTAGAAACTTGGCGTTATAACAACACTGATTATGATCAAAGATATTGTATATCATCCAAATCTAAAGGTCTTACCTATATTGAAGATGAATTCCATGTACTGTTCATTTGTGAGTCCTATTCACACCTAAGAGAGAGGTTTATTAAGAAATGTGTTAAAAAGCCTTATACTGTATATTCTTTAGCAAATCTTTTCAAGAATACTAATGTAGACACTGTAAAATCTGTTGCCTTGTATCTATTTTATGTTAAAAGGATTATTATAAACACACATGAAAGCACATTGTGCCCCTGACTACACTGAAATTTCCTTTGAATGTATTTTGGGCCTATGGCCTTTTACTGAAAATAAAATCTGTCTCTGTCTCTATGTGCAATTACCCATACCATACAACACAATCCTTAGTATCTAACCCTCAAACATAAGAATTCTAAGTTTAGTTATGAAGTATTTCTCATTACTGACAGTGATATGATCCATATGAGCTACAGCCTTTACTGCTTTCGACATCTGCATGACAGGTACCAAATGGCTAGAAATTGTCCAAGCCAAGGAGCCCTCGCCGTTGCTTGCAACTATATTTCTCTTTATATTTGGTCTTAAATATCTGAAAAATAAGAAATTGGAGTCACTGTCATTTTTTCTTTATGATAATCATATTTTGGGTGCTGACAAATAGAACAATAGTTTTATACTATAAATATATTATAATTACATTCAATAACAAGGCAGAAGTGAGCACAGCTCACATACCCCCGCTTATAGTCTGATCGCCTTCAATACCATTATTGAATACCAAAATAACATTTTAGGAAAACTTTCAATTTTGGCATCATGCAACTGAAAGCCAAAACCCACACTGGCACCATACGGGTAGGTTCCATGCCAAATTTGAAGTTTGTAAGTGGTATAGTTTTTGAGTTATGCTAAGGGAAACCATTCCGGACGCACGGACGGACGGACGGACGGGCGGAAGCGCTATATACCAGGTATGATAATGCAGCCATTCATACATGAATTCGGCTGTCAGATAAAACCAGCTCTCTCACTGCCAATGTATGGATTTGAAATTGTGTCTTATCATTATTGTTTAGATTTTCAATAAATAAATCAAACAGCACCTATTATACTTCAAATATGGCTATTACTGTAAACTAAATGTTACTGTATAGACTACACTGTAATGTCAATGTATGTTGTCAACTTACCGCTGATTCGAATCCATATTGGCTGTTAATAACAGCCTGACTGCCTTGGATTCTATCATAAGCGGAAGAGTTTTTGGATCATGTTATTTTATCAACATTACCAGAAGTCTGAATTTGTGTTTAATTCTCTATTATGGTCCCTAAAAAAAATTCCAGCTTGTAAAAATATGGGGGGGCCGCTGACCCCCCTGCCCCCCAGTTCCTACGCCTATGCTGTCAACCTCTAGCAAATTGGTTGTGCTACGTTCCAGCCTTACAATCCCTATTTTGTTTGAAATTTTATCTCCAATATGCACCACAAACTTCAGGTAACAAAATATGCAAGAAACATTTTGTGTGTTTGATATAGGTAGACATCCGCTAGAATCAAACTTAGATATTAGAGTGCATAAAAAAGCAATTTGAAAGTACAATCGCTTGTTAAGTGATTCCCCCTTCATGTTATATGAAACAGCTTGTTTTGGAGACACTACCCATCCCCTTTCAGACGACGAAATCATAAAGACATAACTTATTCTAATGTTTTCACTTTTTCACACATGATGCTAAATGTTCAAAGTAAATACTGAATGGTCACACAAGTGTCAACTCTCAGTATATTGTAAACAGGGCCAGCTTGAATATCTGGACACAATGTTTTTGAAAGACTAAATGGGGGCGTCCTTAAAAGAAACAGCCCCCCGACTAAAAATGTATCAAGCAATCCAAAGCTTTGACTCTTGATTATGAAGGGAAGTCATCCAATACTATACTTACATACATTATCTCAGGGCATACCATTATCCAAGAGGTACTAAATGACGGATCGTGTTTCATTTTCTGCATTTTTTCTAGAAATATTATACCCCAATGTGTTGTGATGACTAATATCTCGTTAATCACATCACCCACAGATGTGAATTTCTTTTTACGGCTTTGCTAATGATTCCTACAAACTAAAATGGAAGCTTTCCAAACATTGGACATCGAGAATATAGTTAGGCCGACTACTTTTATACCGACCCTCGTATGCATTGAAAATAGGGTGGGTGACAGACAACAACCTTAGTCAAGATGCTAGTCTGTTGCCAGGCAATGGAGTGCGTGAGGTTGTTACTTATTTGCTCTGAAGTGAAAGGGCAGATTTGTTGTCGGCTTTTTCAGCAGATGCCACCATTGCAGTTTAGTTAGTATATGCAGCCTCGGGGTTTGTGAGTAGTCTGGTTGCTGGTACCTCGTCCATTTGCCTTTGTCTACAAAGTTTTGTCAGAGTAAAATGTCAATGTTTGTAGTTTTTCTGAGAAGCCGGCTGATGTGATGACTAATCTGGCCTCAGTAGGGGGTGCTGATCCTGATTGGCGATGGTTCATTTTTGGTGGGTGTTTTTTTGTCTTGTTGAGAGTTTAGCTATGGTCTACTCAACAGACGATGAAAGTGATGAAAGTTCTCTTGAGGTGATCTATCTCAGTATCTCAGTATGTAGTTGGACGTAGTTGGATTGGGTCACCTAAATATTGAAGATTGTTCATAGTTACAAAGCTAACTGTGACAATTAAAAAAATTAAAAATGAAAGAAAGACTTAAGTGACTTATGTACGTGTACAGATAAGCACTTAGGTATAAATGCATTACACTTGCCCCTTCCCCCATATTTGATTATTCGCAGCTTCTGTCAATTTGTTATTTTGAGGATTATTTTGTGTTGGTGACACACATGTTTTTAACAGGACACCTACATGCCATACTGGATTAGGTTCCAAGCCCTAAAACCCTAAAAATAAGCTTAGTTATGTACCGTTCATAATTTATTACTGTGAAGATAGGTTGGGGTGGGATGGGGCGAGGGCACGAGGGGAAGGGGTGGTCAATTCCATATACAGTCAAATCTCGATGAGCCGAATGCTGGTGTCTCGAATATTCTGCATAACTCGAAGTACCTGTCGGTCCCGACCAATCACTGTTATAGTTGTCATCATTTGAATACCGGTTACACGAATTTGTCTCATAAATACACACGATGACTCGAGAAGGAAATTTGGTCCCATGAGATTCAAACAACAGCAATCTTGTATACATAAGCCGAAGTCAGTCAATGAGAAGTTGATTGGTTTACCAAACTGATCCAATTAACAAACCAGCGCTGCTCACACCTTTGAGCCATTGACGGGTAAGTTCAAAAGGCAGATTAGTGATTTTACGGAAATCACTGTCTGCTAATCAGACTGACACTTATAAGGTGTCCCTATTAGTGATAGGAAATCATTTGGTAAACAAATGCTTAGGGGGAGGAATTAGGACTGGATCATGTTTTTTCTACCCTCATAGACATACCTGTGTCTCGAATACGTCGATAAGTCGAATGTATTACTTGGTCCCCAGCGATTCGACTCATCAGGATTTGACTTTACTTGCACTAGGGAGAGGTCAGCAATTTTGTACATGACATGCAGGGAGGTCGCTTACTTGGTACATAAATGGTATAGTGCATTATTCACACTGTACATGCTTCCCCATAAACATCATCACCCCCAATTGTGTATGTATTATTTTTTCCCGATCATAACCTGAAAAATATGTTTAAAACTTATTTCCCCACAAAAGATTCTGTTTGCTGGATTTAAAGGTGCTCCAAGTGTTTAATGGCGTCTCTCCTTATGACATCTGCAATCTGAATGATATTATCATGCAATATTCATATGTAATTAAATTTATCAAAGTTAGATGTAATTATGTTCTTGTGAAGACATTTGAATTATTTCAATGCAGTGTTTTGTAAACTATAGTTATGCTGATGACAATATTTGGGATAAATGGAACAATAATCGAATATATTTATTGCTTTTAACCAATTTTACACAATGGTGTATGTCACCTGTAAACCGGTTTGCAAGATATTTGTTTGTTTTTTGTTTTGTTTTGACAAAATATTAAACTTGTCATAGCCCGTAAATATTTAACGTCAGTAAAACTTTCGATATTAAACAGCTGAATACAATCCATTATGAGACTATATGGAGGATTATTGTACATCCTGTCATTGGCATTTTCCATACTGAATGTTGAAAATCACTTCGCTAAGTTGTATATAGTGTGTTGTGTGTGGGAAGACAATGTTACAGTATCAGGTTTGTTATCATGCAACGTGTCATACCATCATATTGTGTATGGTTCCTAAGAGTTAAGAGTGTGACAGTGTTTCTTATGTTTTCAGCAAACACAAGATCCACAGATTAATGATGGAAGTTAAAACCCAGGGAATCCTTTCCCGGTCACTGAAACAAATGGAATCTGTTGAAGGGGTTTGCTGAGGAGATTCCAAGAAACATTTTTTTTATTGACAACTTGGAAATAGGTTTATCTCATGAAGGAACCCGTTAAATGGAACCCTGGAAACAGATGGTTTGGAGTGATCTGACAAAGCAGTCTCACATACATGTTGTGATAGCACAGAGACATTTTCTAAATCTCATGTGGGGCGACAGGGTAGCCAAAGATTCCCCAGTATGGGCACAGTGTGTGAAGCTCATTTCTGGTGTCACCCTCTGTGATATTGTTGAAATACTGCTAAAAGCGGCGTAAAACCATGCTCACTCACTCACTCATGATCACTCTAAATCAGCTGACTTGAAAAGGCACATCGACTGTCATCGTGGAATTAAGACTTATCAGTGTTCTGAATGATGGAAAACATTCGCACCATCAGCTTATCTTCAGTCACACCTGAGGATTCACATTCAAGCCTTATGAATGTGTGTAAAAATTTACACTGTTGGGTAGTCTGAGAAACACATGATGACTCAAAGTGGAATCAAACCTCATCAGTGCATTGTGTGTGAGAAAACATTTACACACTCAAGTGCCCTTCAGACAAACATGAGAATTCACACTGGAATCAAGCCTTATGAATGTGTTGAATGTGGGATAACATTTGCACAATCAAGTAGTTTGCAGAACCACATGAAGATTCACAGTGGAATCAAACCTTATGAATGTGTTGAATGTGGGAAAAGATTTACACATTCAAGTAGTCTGCAGAATCACATGAAGATTCACAGTGGAATCGGTCTTCATCGGTGCAGTGTGTGTGAGAAAACATTTACACAATCATGTAACCTTCAGACACACATGAGGATTCACAGTGGAATCAAACCTTATGAATGTGTCGAATGTGGGAAAAGATTTACACATTCAAGTAGTCTGCAGAATCACATGAAGATTCACAGTGGAATCGGTCTTCATCGGTGCAGTGTGTGTGAGAAAACATTTACACAATCATGTAACCTTCAGACACACATGAGGATTCACAGTGGAATCAAACCTCATCAGTGCATTGTGTGTGAGAAAAGATTTATACAATCAGGAGAACTGCAGGTACACATGAGGATTCACACAGGAATCAAACCTTATGAATGTGTTGAATGTGGGAAAACATTTGCACAATCAAGTAGTCTGCAGAGACACATGAAGATTCACAGTGGAATCAAACCTTATGAATGTGTTGAATGTGGGAAAAGATTTACACAATCAAGTAATCTGCAGAATCACATGAAGATTCACAGTGGAATCAGTCTTCATCGGTGCAGTGTGTGTGAGAAAACATTTACACGATCATGTCACCTTCAGACACACATGAGGATTCACAGTGGAATCAAGCCTTATGAGTGTGTTGAATGTGGGCGAAAATTTAGACATTCCAGTAGCATGCAAAATCACATGAGGATTCACAGTGGAATCAAACCTCATCAGTGCATTGTGTGTGAGAAAAGATTTATACGATCAGTCGGACTGCAGGAACACATGAGGATTCACACAGGAATCAAACCTTATGAATGTGTTGAATGTGGGAAAACATTTGCACAATCAAGTAATCTGCACAAACACATGGCGATTCACAGTGGAATCAAACCGTATGAATGTGTTGAATGTGGGAAGAAATTTATGCAATCAGGTAGCCTGCAGAAACACATGTTGATACACAGTGGAATCAAACCTTATGAATGTGTTTTATGTGGGAAAAAGTTCACATGGTCAAATAATCTGCAGCATGTGAAGATTCACAGTGGAATCAAGCCTTATGAATGTGTTGTATGTGGGAAAAAGTTTACAAAATCAGGTAACTTGCAGGCACACATGAGGATTCACAGTGGAATTAAGCCCTATGAATGTGTTGAATGTGGGAAAAATTTATACAATCAAGTAATCTGCAGAATCACATGAAGATTCACAGTGGAATCAAACCTTATGAATGTGTTTTATGTGGGAAAAAGTTAACACGGTCAAATAATCTGCAGATGCATGTGAAGATTCACAGTGGAATCAAGCCTTATGAATGTGTTGTATGTGGGAAAAAGTTTACAAAATCAGGTAACTTGCAGGCACACATGAGGATTCACAGTGGAATTAAGCCCTATGAATGTGTTGAATGTGGGAAAAAATTTACACAATCAGGTAGCCTGCAGAAACACATGAGGATTCACAGTGGCGTCAAGCAGTGAAGACTTACTACTGTGTTGGATATGGCAAAGGGTCTACAACTGTATGCGCCCTGCAGAAATACATAAGGAGTCAAAGTGGAATCCCGTCTTATCAATGTGTTGAATGTGGGAAAACAGTTGCACTGTCAGATACTCTCAGCCAGTAAACACTTCAGAAGATTCGCAGTAGAATCAACTTATTGTTGAGTTTCAGTGTTATGTATATAATTTACGGTGCATATATTTTGTCGTACATTTTTATATTCCCATCCCAACAAGTGCATGTTTTAGCACAAACTAAGTCATAATCGAAGCTGTGAAGTATACAATCTTGGGTTTACCAACTCAGGCACACTTGCTTGAACAAACCCAAAGTACTCACAGCTCTCTCCTTTCTTGTTTCAAAATAAGAAACATTATTCTTGATGTTATTTCTTTGTAAATATGTGTAGAAAGTGTTTGAAATGAGTTTGACGCAATCATACAATGTTAAATCACTTTTCGAAATACCTACCATTGTAAATGCATGTTCAAAATAACCAATTAATTCTTAGGCACTGTCTAGTTAAGTCTATACACATTGCATCGTCAGCTTGTCCTTTTTTGTCCTTATGTAAATATTTCTTTTCAATGTTTTGAGACATGTGTATATCCCCAATAGTAGTATAGGAAATGACAGTTCCATTACAGATACCCCTGAGGGGGTTAGATCTGTCTTTCCACATCACCTGCCCGGTCCGTCCAACATGTACATGTGATGTTATGGGGTTCACCTTCTTTGTTAGCCACTTGGTAGATACCGTATGCAGAGACCATATACCGAGGGACGGGCCTCAGAACTAATTAGGAACTGATCACTGCCGCACGAGACAAAGCGATCATTACCATGATTACCGCAAGGCTTTGTGAGATCTGCGATATTCGAAGGCTCACATTGGTGTTTTTACCTTCATCTGTATCATCCACGGTAAGTTAAATTACTTTCATTTGATTTTGTAAGAGATGACTACCATTTATTGTAAGTATCTCACAAATGTATGGAGCACATACTATCTTCGAAAGGAATATACCATGCACTGTGGTGATCCCCTTTGTTGTGATCTAATAAAATGGCTTCCTTCAGCGAAATCAGCACTCTTTTTCTGTATGCATTGATATGAAAAATAATATGTTTTTATCTTATGATGGGTTTTGTTCGATGATGTGAAAAACACTAGCCCACGCTAAAACGTTTTAGGATATCGCTTAGCAATTGTCCTTTAGTTAAAATCAGCAATTTTCAATATCAAAACAAATTTGAATGAATATTGTCCGGGCTTCAAATTTATTACTGTATTATTTACTTCCATATTTTCATATTATTTCCCCTTGTCACAGTTTGCGTCACTGTTCTGTAAATGTATGTTCTGTATACTAAATATTCCACTGTACTGACATTCAGTGAAAACACTGGGTGTGATCATGTAAAGTAGAAGTATATGTTTGGCTTACATTTGATTAATTGTTCTTTTAGATGCCACGATACAAAAAAGGATGCATTGGAAGGCGATCTAAGCGTTCTGGCACTAAGTCTAAAAGTGTGGATCAGCAATCAACTATAAGGGATGCAGCTTCACCGACCACACTTCATGACAACACAACATGTCTACCAGGAATATTGGATGACAATATGTAAGTACTGTGTGCATGACAATCATTGTGAAATAGATAATGCACAGTGATTGCACTTCAACCAAATATCAGTAAGCTTTACAAAGACTTGATTAAATATTGTGTAGCGAGTGAGTTTAATTTTACACCGCACTCGGCAATATTCAAGCTATATGGCAGCGGTCTGCAAATAATCACCTCATACGACAAGCATGGCCAATATTCTAACCCGGACCTTCACGGGTAAATGTTGTATAACATCCATGAATATGCAAAAATGTTTGTTGTTTGGAAATCTTTATAAATTGAGTAGTATGATTATATTTTAATATCTTAATTTTTGTTTCAGTGTTAGACAACTACAGTGGGGTGAAGCTTGGGCAGCTTTTTACATCAGTCCTGCTGAACACCACCAAGAAGCAGTTGCAATTGAATCTCACAGTCATGGTGCATCAACAGATTCTGACAACTGCTCTGCTAATGCGTTTTATGTCCTTGTGGGCAAGATGTACCGGTACAACCCTGATGACAATCTGGCTGGACGATGTTGTCACTGGCATACTGCATCACAGAAGATACCAACAATACTCATGTTTGAAAAATACTTTATTTGAAGAGTATGACCAACTTGGAGACTTCACAATTATCCAGACAAAAGAGGATGTGATAAACTTAGCTCAGTTTTATGAGGGTTCTGACTTAGCTGTTCACAGACAGAAAATTGGACATGATCATGATTTTTGGATTGGTTTACCCAAGTTCTTTTCAACTCTCAAAGATGTCAAGAAACTGCTGTCAAAGTTGTCCTCTTACCATGTCTGCCTCGGAAATTATGAAGACAAATACAGCCATTTTGTTCAGATAGGTGTTGGGTTGAGTCAGACTGCTGGTCCCGGCATATCAGCATATAGAGAATGTGACTTTGGTGTAAACATCAACGGCATTGAATTTAGCTCAACCATCCGGTCAGCACGTTGTGCCCTGCTAGCTTTTGGGAAAACGAGATGCGAACATTGTTGTAGGTACCGTTCTACTCTCAGGAAAGTACTGTCCTGCAATAGTGTATCTCCTAAACCATGTCAGCCACACCCTCACAAACTGTCTCATAAGACACATAAGCACATGACAAAAATGGAACTTGTGAACAAATTTCAAGCTGTTAAAAATCACAATCAGGCACTTAAGATCGAATTAGGTCAACTGAAAAGAAAAGTGTTTCATACAATTGGGAATAAAGGACTAAAACTAAATACTACTAGCGATGAGGACTTGAGACACATGCTAAAAGAATACAGCTCTGAGGTACAAAGAAGTTATCCGGATGAAAACTCTCTGCAAAGATTATTTTGGGAACAACAAGCAAAGTATTCAAACCTAACCGACAAACGTTCCATGAGATGGCACCGTATGGTGATCAAATGGTGTCTTTACTTGCGGAGCAAGAGCAGAAAAGCTTATGACGCTGCACGGAATACAGGTTTTATAAAATTGCCAAGCAAGAGAACCCTATTTGATTATTCCCATTCTTTGCCCAGCATTCTTGGATTCCATCCTGAATATGCTGAACATCTGATGCAGGAAGCAAAGGCCTTTGGCATGCTGGAGAGTGAAAGTATCAGAAGGACTCGTATATATACGACAGATCATCTGGGGAATTAGTTGGATATGTGGACCTTGATAAAACTGGTAATGAACTGCTACAATTGGAAGATTCATTGAAGGAGACTCAACCCCAGTTGGAATGTGTGAGATACCTATTAACTAATGGTGCTGAATATGTCTTGACCCATAGATTCAATCAGGACCCACTTGAGGAGCAGTTTAGCCAGTATAGACTAAAAGGAGGGGCAAATGACAATCCATCAGTGTACAATGTTAAGCACATGATTTCTGAGATGCAAGTTATAGGTTCATCAGCTCTGCAACCTATCAGAGGCAATATTTCACAGAAGAGAGGTGCAGCCGTAGCCATTGTAACTGTTGATGACACCCCTATGCCAAGAAAGAAACAAAAGCGTTTGAATTAAAATGGTCACGTGTTCATTCATTAACTCATGCATAACATGACATTGAAAGGTTAAATTGTGGTACGGCGACTCAGCATCAGGTGTTTCAATAATGTTACAACAGTTATTGTAAATACATAATATTTTCACAGTACAATCTAGTTTGTGTTCCCATGTTCCTTTAATGTTCCCCTGAGCGATCTGCTCCTTTTAACTCCTTTGCGATTCTTAATCCCCCTCATTTCCTTCTGGAGCTGACGTTTTGAGTATTTAGCTACAGCACCTCCACGTACACGGAGAAATAAGTCCACAATGAACTCCAAGAGCTTCAGTCCATCCTCACAGGAGAGTAATTTGTGCCAGTAGTAGGAGACCATGTAGCTTGACATTACTGTCTCTGTAAGTTTATCACATAAGAGAAAGGAGGCGCACAACTTTAAGTTGAACATGCTTTCTAATTTCAATTTCAAATGACCTTATAAGTAGATAGAAATTGTCACTTGGGAATTTTAGACCCCCTCTGTTCATTTTCTCTGTCCACTTACTAAACCTGACAATGTACTCTTCTTTGGAAGTTGCATCAGAAAGTAAAAAGAGTTCTGCAAGGTGTTGCTCTATATCCATTCCAAAGATAGCCCTTTTCTTCAACAGAACATGCAGTATGTATCCCGATATATAGTACAACACTGCCTGGTCATTGTCACTGATTGCTGATGCTGTTTGATGCGACTGTTTCTGAATGGATTCTGACAGGTGCTTTAGCATGTTCCTCAAGATGCGATCCAACAAGCACTGTGCAAAAATGTGGATAATCCTGTGTGATTCACTTGTCACTTCGACCAAAATGTTGTGAATGTCTGATTGTGAGTCTTCATTAAGTCGCATCTGATGAAATTTCATCCGTGACTGTTCTCTGTCAGACGAAAGGGAACAACCTTTTCCAAACTTGTCAAAAACTGAATGGAATTCCGGGTTCAGAACTGACACTAGATTTCTGTGAACTGTTGGTCTGTCGCTGCACTTTTTGCAACAGCAACAAGATGAGGGCCATTCAATGAACATGAAGCTTCGTTCATAGGATCAAGGATTATTGTTGATAAAGACTTTGGTAGGACTTCTGTAAGAATACCCCGCATGTCGACATCTGTTGGCAAGAAAACTGGTGTGTTTTCCTCTCTACTGTGAGTATCCGTCCTGTCTGCTGAAGGGGGGTTGTCTTTGTTTTTGACAGTGGAGCCCAGTCGATGTTCATGTGCTAAAATGAAAAAAAAGTATTGACATATTCAAATGATGCATATTGACTGATGACGTAGCATTAATGTGAGAGTTTCATTGGACTTCACCAAAGATAGTCAATATATAATTTAAGAGAAAGTATGTTAACTCATGGCAGTTGCTGAGGTATACAGTTAATATGAAGGAAATAGTGGAATTACCGGTAAGAAATGGTGGCCTGAGATAAATCATTTAAATATATTATTGTTTTCACTAATGTGAAGTGAACACATGCTAATGGTGACAACCGGGATGAAACTACATGTAAGTATCTGAGAAATGTGTATAGTTTGATCAATTTATGATCAGTGTCACTGTTGGAAGAAATGTGTTAAAATTGTGTACATTTTGTAAATATTGAAGATGCCCTAAGACATTAGCATATCATTATTTGATTTTACAAATCGGAGATTGTTTTCGGTACCTCATATGGTACATATATATACTCTGATACATTGAATAAATTGAATGCTTACCTTTAATAGCTGATCTGTTGTGTTTCTTGGTAACATGACCACGAAAGCCCCCCATACTCCGGTAGGTTTTACTGCAAAGTGGACAAGCATATTGCGATGTATTCTCTTTTCTGTGATGATTAGGAGAGGTGGTCGATGGAGCTTTGTCATCTTCAGATCTGTCAAAATGCATGTCATCACCGCCAAAGCAATCCTCGTCACTCAGACGTTCAGTGTCACAATCTGTATATTCGCCAAGTAGTAAGTCTAAATCCAAATCATCCCAGTGAATAAAGTCGTCCATATCGAAGATAATGGTGAAGTAACATGTTCGTTTTTCGCTTATAAAGGGACGTACATCCGACAGCAAAAACATTGTTTACGGAAAGCCGGAAGTGTAAATAGTCTACATGTGCGTCTGCGCGTGGATGAAGGGAATTAACTCTTTGACACTAAACCATTGCGTAATATGTTTCTCCTGACTATGGAAGTCCAGTGCTGATGGCATCTGCGCACGTGCTACGCATCTGGACCACAGCCAGGGAAAACACTGCAGGGGTTCACGGGGTATCGTTTGCACTCATTATCGCGACAGTGATGGTTAATGATAAAGTACTGCTGAGGCCTGTCCCTCGGTATATGGTCTCTGCCGTATGTTTTCTTTCATGGACCACGCCAAATCTGTGACGCAGCATCACTGGGCTGATGTAAATACCTCATGCTGATTTGGTCTGACAGTTTCTTCTCTCTATGACCTCATTGCGATGCGGACACCGATTTCATTTCAATACCTTCGGCAGGCTTCTTCTCGATCAATTGAGCCACTTCGTGTTTGATCGCTGCCACCACTTCGGGTAAATGGAACATTTATTCAGGCATGACCATTTCTTGCACATACTGATGCCCGAACAGGTGTTCGGCTAAGGTGCGATTGAATCTCTCTATGATGGCTTGGCTGCAATGGGCGCATGCTGTACAGTGCCTGACCTAGACCTGGTGTTTGGCAAGCAGCTGTGACACAGAGCCCATGAACTGGCATCCAGGACTGACTTGTATTTCAGTAGACCACGTCAAAGGCCTCCGTTTATAGATCTTATCTTGGACACTTGAGTCGAATCTTTCGCGGTTAATGGCTTGGTCTCTTTGTATCGACTGACGACATCCCTAATGGGAGAAACATGAAGTCAGGCATCGGCACATCAAACTTTTTTCTCAGGATGTTGTTGTGGGGGATGCCAAGCTATTACTTTCTGAATCTCCTTTGAGTTCACCGGGCTGGTACAAATACCTCATGCTTATCTGGTCTGACAGTTTCTTCTCTTGACCACCTCATCGTAATGCGGAGTGTTTAGCTGACACCAATTTCATTTCAGTAGCATTGGCAGGTTTCTTATCAATCAATTGATTGCTGCCACAACTTGGGCAAACGGACCACTCATTTCATCGATAGCTGTTTGGGCATCAGCATTTCCTGCTCATACTGATGCCCAAACAGGCATTCGTCTCACCTGTTGTGTGGGCGAAACAGGAAGTCAGCTTGGTGGACCCGATTAGTTGTCGGCACATCAAACTTTCTTCTGGAGATGTGTCTTGAAGTTGATTTGCCATAGGACTTGTTTCAGAAACCAGTCCTCAGCTGCATCTTAGGAGACCTTGGCGGCATCAGCGATCTTGGGGATAGCGCTTGTGCCTTTCCAGTATCACTGTGGGCTGTAGTAAATATTCTCAAGTTTTATGTATTTCACGGTATTTTCCCTTTAAGACAGCAGTGTCCAAACACTTAATTTGTGACAGCGTCAATGGCAATCCATTGTTCTGTATCCATGGGTGATAAGGATGTTTTGTTTATGGTTATTCCGGAGACCCTGTGCCCATCACCTTGGTAACCTTGAAAAATGGCACTCAAAAGAATCTCCCAGTGTGTAGTCCAGAGGTAACATTCATGCCACCACAAGAAGATTATGTTATGAATTACAGTAGTCTTGTCATTGATCTTGGACTCCTGTATCTGAATTTTCGTGATGCATGTCATCTTCCAAATCGTGATCGCATGATGAGAATATTTAAAATGTTCTTACCAATCTTCAAAGGGACCAAAAATCAATCAAAATATGCTCTGGAACTGCTTCGATTCTTGATTCAACATAATTCCATACTGAGCGAATGTCAATCACACAGAGTTTTCTATGGCCTGTTTGTGAACAACCAAGGACACAAGCAACAAGGAGAGTTCTATGGATATACACCTTCTTTAATATGATATGAGCGACGTTTCGGTGTAGCTACTAACACAATTATCAAGCGATGATGTTTACACAATTAATGAGGTAGATGTACAAGGTGGTGGATGTTTACACAGGAGGCCAATAGTTACACAAACATAGTAAGCTATGGGGGATTAAGGGAGGAAGCCAGTGATATGACAGACAGGAGAATAATAGGATTAAGATTGCTTTGTGATGAGTTGGTTGTAGGCAGTGGGGATGTAATATCCTTGGTCTCTGTTCATGGCCGGTTGGAGTCTCTTGATGTGAATGGCTTCTAGTAGGTTTCTGATCTTGTAGTGGGTGTGATTGCTGGTGAGTACATTGATGCTGTTCCATAGGATGTTGTGGTCTGGGTGAGCTTGGGTGTGGTCAGAGATGGCTTCCTCCCTTAATCCCCCATAGCTTACTATGTTTGTGTAACTATTGGCCTCCTGTGTAAACATCCACCACCTTGTACATCTACCTCATTAATTGTGTAAACATCATCCCTTACTGTTCAACTTTACTATGTATATAAATATACCTTGCATCTAGTATTGTACATCATTTGCTTGATAACGGTGTTAGTAGCTACACCGAAACGTCGCTCATATCATATTAAAGAAGGTGTATATCCATAGAACTCTCCTTGTTGTTCATCACACCACCTTCTAAATGCCACTTAAACAAGTTAACCAAGGACACATTAACACTCATATCAGAGCAGACCAGCAAATGGAGTACAAAGTCAAGAAGCAGAAAAAGCTAATCAAACACTGTTACTCCAACAAGACTAATAAAAATATCGTGCGACACACTGCTGCTGTCCATGGTGTGTCCACAATTGGAGAGAGCTTTGATGCTGCCACCAAAGTTATCAGGCGTGCCAAAGCTCATCCCAAACTTTCAGCATTGATGGATGAAAAATCCATGGTATCTGACATTATAAGCATTAAACCATGGAGCCATTCTGCAAACGGAAATTTGAACATTTTCCCAGAAGTCTGAGAACACATGTTGACAAAATAGATCCTGCTGCCTTCTGGAAATTGTTTTCCGAAAAGAAAATGTATTTCTTCCATGAGGTTGGGAAGTAATACATCATAGATCAGATGTATCTGATTTACTGCTGTTCACATGACACTGTTTCAAGTTTGCTTGATTGTTGACTGTTGTTGCCTCATATAATATATAACTGTATACTCCTTGACAACAGTTACCTCTAGGGCTGTTACTATTCATTCGTGACTATTCAGATAATTGAACTGTCTCCCTTCATGAATTCAGTTCGCTATTTGCAATCACTAGAATTGAAATGTTCATGAAGCTTTTTAAAAAGGAGTGTTTTAACTTGAATTTGTGTTTGATTTTTCAAAGTGAGATATGGAAAATGGAATATATCCAACCAAGCAGAATGACTATCAACACTCATATCTTTTATTTCATATTAATCTGTTCACTGGACATGCTGTGGATAAATTAAGTAGGTGTTCCATACTGTTCCAACTCAAAGTTCTCAAAGAAACACTCTGTCAACATGGACAAAACACATCAAAGAATATACTTTGTTATTGTTTCACTGAATACTTTAAATAATACATCAACTGATGACATGTTATTGGATTCATGGCTCAATACTTGTGTATCATATTTTTTTTCATAGAAGATTTGCTGCAGCCCAAGTTATCTCCCCTTGACTATTGTTAACTGATCTTATAAATACTCTTTTTATCTCAATTTTGTGTACTGTCATCAAAACTATTGTATCTTTAGTGTATATTGTATACAATCCATATTACATATTCATGGGGAATGATAATGTTGAACCACATATTTGAGAAGACATGCAATATTGCCCAAATAGGCAAGATTGATGTCTTTGAACTCTGACTTAAGAATGTCCACATTGCTAAATCTGTTTTGGAGGCCAGTTTCTTATCAAGCCCTGTTGTAAGTTTGAAAACGGTACATCAGCAACTTGATTTTCAGCTTCAAAATAATCAGTTAACAACTGTGAAGCCATTTTAACAGCAGCTTTCCTGGGTGCAGGAATTTGCTCATTGCTCTCCTGAGTCGAGAGATGGAAGTCAGTTTCGAACACTTTGTGTATAATACATTCAGCACACTGACATGTTTTTGAGCAATTGTCACAACAACGATGACCTGGTTCTGGTTGGACACATTCAAATTCAAAATAATTCATCAAAGTCTGTCTTCTGCATTTGCTAGTGGTGCAGAAATCTTTCATTTCCTTTGAGAGATGTTTGACGTTTGAAGCTATGTCTGATTTGTTCATGTACACTATTGCCTCTGCATGTTCACCATCACGCCCAGCTCGACCAGTTTCTTGCAAGTAAGCTGCAAACCAAACTATCATTATCATTCTGTGCAAAAAACCTAAGAGTAATACTGTCCTATTTTTTAATTGGTGTCTGGACAATTCCTGTTATTGTACTCTACTTTATGATTGCTTTGTTCCATCACCCAACTGAGCACTCAATCAATATACTGAACACGCCTTTCGCAACATGACAATGACTAAAACTAATCTGAAAATGGCTTCATTGTGATAATGTAAAAATATGGAGAGATTGTGAGTTTGTTTCATATTAAGCATGCAAATGTGTGTTCATTTTCAGTACCCAATTGTTGAACCAGATATATTGTCTTCTAATTTATTGATTTAATTATTTCCATTTTGCTTACTTTCTAGCGTTGAAGGTGGTCCAGTGTGAATAACCCTTCTTATATCAGGTGCATCAGTGCCCATGCTGTATGCCTCAGTGGCTAAAAGTAGCCTTACATGGCTATTGGAAGACTTGAATATACAAGACAGTTGTTGTTTCAGCTGAAAACAAAGGACTAATTATTTACAGAGAGCAAGGCTTGCTTTCCAAAAATAAGTAAAAATTGATACTTAATCATAAATTCTAAAATGTTAATGTATTTTGACATGAAAAACATTTGTCTTTACAAGTGCTATTAATTATCCATTATTGGTTCATTTCAGGACAATACTGGGAAATTATAAATATATTAGTAGCAGAGGTAAATTATTGATAAATAGTACTTAAACCGCTTACTGCACCAACTTGCGGTGCATGATACTGTCCAAGCCTGGCAGTGTACTGACTATTAGAGGTGTAACAGTGGAGTTCTTAGAGTAAAAGCCCATTATTTGAAGTGCCAATTCATGGCCATATCCACACCATTTCAGCTTGCTGAAGAGAACTGTTTTGGGGAAGGATCTTCCTTTCTCCTGTAAAAATATACTTGTTTCTTAAAATGCCTCTCACCTAGTATTTTGTGAAGAATTTGTAAACTATACTCAAACAAAATTCAATTCAGGAGAAATTAATGTGTATATGCCAGATTTACAGATATCATTACAAAATTCTGCAGATACAGTTTTCACTTATCAGTTTCTGTTTCATTTTGCTGCTGAATAATGTTATTAATAATGCAAACAGTCCTGTATTAAGACCATATACATGTACACATTTTTGATTATCTAGGTACTTGTCATTAATATTTACCACATTTTTCACTTTGTACCAAAGATGGTGTTATGTCATTATTGCAGTACAGTTAATTGGTTGATGCTTGCATATTAGTCTTGATGATATAACTAAGATATGTATTGTTTCATCTGAAGGTAGTAATGATATATGTGACTAAAAAGAGAACATGATTAAAACAGTATTATGTATTGTGTGCATTGATGATAATATATAAGATAGCAGTTGATATCATGTTGAAATGAGATCCATAGTTGGCCCATAATCACTGGTTTGGTTGGCCCATGGTTGTCAAACTCACGATGGCCCATGGTTGTCCGACTTGGATATGCTCATCGGCTCCACAGTGGCCCATCATGTTGGCTCATTGTTGGGCCAACGAATGAAAATTCACACAAAACCATGGCCCATAGTTGGCCCAACGTAGTGACTTTGTTGGCCTTATGTTGGCACCACCGTGTTACAACATTTAGCTCTTCCTTGACCTTTGTACTAAACCATGGCCCATACTTGGCCCAATGATGTGATTTAGTTGGCCTTATGTTGGCACAACTGTATTTCAACATTTAGCTCTTTCCTGACCTCTGCAATCAGAAACATATATAAACAACACAACAAGTTAATCAAGTGAACTATTTAATTCTTTTTTTCATTGTTATTTGAACATTATTGTATTTCTTGAAAATATTCTTGTCTTAAGTCTTTTGGCTGTTGCCGCTGACAGGTTTTTTTAACTGCTCCTGAAGAAAAACAACCCAAAAATTTCATGAAACTGTCAGATATCATAAATTTAGACATGAGATCTATCGTAAAAGGACATAGTATTTGACCTTATGTTTTATTTGAAACATACAACTTAATGATTGAAAACTTCTTGCTTATTGCACAGAGTGATGTTCGGATGTAGATTCTTACACTGTTATCAAGCTAAAACCAAATGATGAGAAGTATATATATCGTAGTATGTTTTGACAATCAGCAGATTGGCATTAACAAGAACATGTAATTGAATAACAACTGGTACATTATTGGGAGAGGCCAGATGGGGACTAAGAACAACAAATGGAATGGTGATGAAGCCAATAAACAAGGGGGGATTCAGGTGTAACAACAAGCTGATAGGGTGCTTTGATAGAGTCTATAGTTTGATAAGTTCTTCATTGGTCTGTCGTTTTCATGTGACTGCAAAATTTGGTTTTGTTGCAATTATTAGATTTTGTGTTAGTGAGCAATTCATTGGTCTCAAATGAAATCAAACAGACTATGAGTTGGTGGGTTAATGGTTGAGGCTCGTGAAGACATGTTGTAGGTGGTTCCGCTCATGTTCTAGGTCATGGCTGCTGGAGCAAATGTTCTTAGCGTGCTTGATCAGGGTTGAGATGACGCCAAACTTAGTTTTAGGGGGCTGGTTTGAAAAATTCAAAATCTTATCCCCCAAGAATCATGAATTCACAAAAAGAAAACTTTTGGAAGCCATCGAAATCAGCCGTCACAAACCTTTGATCAATACAGACCAAGGAAACTACATACCACTGACTGACTGAGTTTGGTTTCACGCCGCTTTTAGCAATATTCCAGCAAAATCACGTCGGGGGACACCTGAAATGGGCTTCACACATTGTACCCATGTGGGGATTCGAACCCTGGTCTTCGGTGTGACGAGACAAAGCTTTAACCACTAGGCTACCCCATCACGCCCACTACATACCATTCGGATATGAAGAACTAATCAAACTATAGACTTTATCAAATCACCCTGTCAGGTTTGGTTGTAGTCACTTTTAGCTTGTTAACGGTGTAAGAATCTACATCGAAACGTTGCTCTATGCAGTAAAAAAGAAGTTGTCATCCATAAAGTTGCATGTTCCATTTTTGACTCACCAACTTCTAGACTACCGATCAAACAATGTTTCATTTGGATATGACGTGTAACTACTATAACTGTGACACACATATCTGATATGATGATGTTTAGCAATTATTGGTTGTAAAGATGAATAATAGAGAGAGTTGTATATGGAAACAGGAGTGTAACTGACAAACACATAATGTTAATAAAGTAAACACAATAAATTTAAATAATTTAAAATGAACTGAGATATATCAAAGTGGTTAAAACAGGCTACCTAAAGAAAAGAGTCAATTAAATCTTTTATCAACTCAATCAATTGCCTTTCAATACAGTATGTGTCAGTTTCTTTAGCCTTCTGATTTAAACTTAGTATTATTTACCAGTTGAAGGCCTCCAGAAATGTAGTGTCTTCTGCTCTTTGAATATCAGGTAAAGCTATCAATGATGACAAGTTTGGTATTCAATTTGAAGAAAACAACGCTGTAAAATTCACTGCATCATAGTTGAAAGACAGGGAAATGGATTCTTTCTTTTTGTCTGTGTAATTATTTCAACTTTCATCAAAATCTTTATAAGAAAACATGGCTAAAAATGGCCGTGTGCTCACTCTTTTATTCACAATGTTGGGCCAACGGTGGCCCAACTTTGTGAAATAGATGTAAGATCAGGGAAAATAGGCAGAGTTTTTCAAATGTTGGCCCACTGTTGGACCAACGTGTCAAAAGCCACCGTTACTTTTAAGTCATTAAGATAACGTTGGGCCAATGTTGTCAAACTGTTGGCCAACCAACTAACCATATACCAACATTGGCCCAACACACCTTTGCTATCTGGGTAACTGCTATCTAACTACTAAGTGAAATCTTATTCTGCATTTGCTGTAAAGACATTAACACATCATTTGCTGTGGTATGATATAAATTCTTTACCTTTAATTCCATTAATATTGGCCTCAAAACCTTCATAAGCATCTTCTGATGTTTTGTTTACAGAATTATGGGAGGGTCTCTTATTCACTGAATAAAACAGGTTTGGGCGATCACATGATGCTTATACTAAGTAGTAATTAGGACAAAACCTGAGGTGTTTTACTATGCATTTTTGTGTTGTTTTGTAGCTGTTGTAGTCATTGCAACAACTTTTGTGTTTGGTAGAATTGCCATTAGCGTGTCAAGACACTGATAATCTGTGCGGAAGCTGTTGCCCCATGTATCCATGCAGTGAGCCTCATCAACAATCATGTGAGATATCTGCCTCCGATACTTCATTTTTTTCAGATCACAGAGAAACCCCTTCTGTAATAACTGCTCAGGGTGTCCAAGAATATATGTTGGAGCTTTTGTCTCCCATGTGGTCTAGCAAAATGTGTATGCACCTTTCAGCCTAAAAGTTCACTTTTTCGTTGATGATTGCATTCAAGGGACTCACGACGAGAATTGATGTTGTTTCTAAATCTACGGAAAAACGAATTATGGCACATTTTAGAGCATTAACTGTACCCAGCTTGTCTCCAATGTTCATCATGATTTCAATAAATCTATGATCACTTGGGTATATAAATGGAAAAAAAAAATATTGTGATATGCGAGACGGGGCCAAGCTTATGGTTCTAGTGTCTTGATGCACAGGCTACTGTTTTAATCCATCAGTTGCCTGGTCGTCATCACCTGGTTTAATCCATCATGTGGTCAGTTCCACACTGTGATGACGTTGCAGTTTGAAAAAAACGTTTACATAGTACAAAGAGTGTTACCACGTAACTAAATTGTACAACATTCAACGTGAGTCGGTCGTCTTTCAAGAGTATCGTTCTTCACAATAACTAAAACGTTTAAGCATTACAGCTAGCTTGCAATCGGTGAATGTGTCGGCATACTACGTTTGTACATAAATTGTAAATATATGTCCCACCTCTTCCACTTTCCCACCTATCGATCCCATATCCAAATACATCACGAAGAAAATACACACAGTTAAGGTCAAAGTGAATTTTCAGCAATATTGCAGAGTGTTTATAAAATCACGTCACACGTACTCTAACACGAATCCCTGAATTCCTCATACAGTTCAAAATAAAATGACACCAATACCAAGTGTTTCAGTAAAATCTAACGAAATGTAACAGATGCCGCGCTGGGAAAGGACCACTTGTATTATTATATTGTTTGAAATGTAAACAAAGTCGAACTCAGATTTCACTCTGTGTATCTGTTTGCCTACTTTTGTTTCATACACTTGCTCATTAGTTTTAGACCATGCATGGGAAAGGTATTGTGGCAAGCGATAGTTAAATAAAAGAGGTGTATTCCAATGATTTCCGAGATTCATCACAAAATATTATATACTGAGTCAATGATGATACAATACTGATGATACATCTATGTATCCGAAATGGGATCCCTATCTTTCGACTCTAGAAAAACTTTAGCAAAACCCACTCAAACCCGTCCATTCGTCGTGCAAATGACGTTAGTGCCAAATCAGGTTTTGCACGTGCAGTCGATCACGTGATCTTCGCATAGAAGTTTTCTTTATATGCACGTGTTTGCATTGGCCTCAAAACTTGAAAAAACACTTTTAAACCACAGTTCTAACAGTACTTGAAATGCCACGATTGTCAAATGTGCAACGTGAACGGCGTTGGCATGTTGCAAGCGGGAAGATCAGTTATTGATGTCGCAAGAGCAATGGGATGCAGCCGTCGTACTGTGTATGACTTGTGAGGTCGTCTACAACAAACTGGCACCACTTCTGATCGCCCAAGGTCGGGTCGTCCACGTGTGACGTCACGAGCAGAAGACCGTCAAATCGTCCTACGTCACCTACGTGACAGATTTCTGCCGGCTACACGAACCAGGGCTAAGATGTTTAGAGGTCGACTGTCCTCACAGACCATTCGAAATCGGTTGCGGGCTGCCAATCTCCATTCTCGACGTCCATATCGTGGGCCAATATTCATCAACGTAAACGTCTGCTGTGGGCCCAACGTCACCTCCGATGGACCCAGAGAGACTTGAATCGAGTCGTCTTTAGCGATGAATCCAGGTGTACCCTCAGATTCGCGGACGGCAGGCATAGAGTCTGGAGACGACGTCGTGAACGGTATGCCCAATGTTGTGTACAGAAAGTCGACAGATTCGGGGGCGGAAGTTGCATGGTGGTGGGTGCTTTCTGTGGAAACAACCGTTCCCGACTTCTGGTCATCCATGGAAACCTCACAGCTTCTGCTTACCGCGACCAGGTGCTCACCCCAGAACTCATTCCTTTCATGGCGGCTCATGGCCCAGGTCTACAGTTCCAGCATGATAATGCTCGGCCGCATACGGCGATGTTGACACGAAATTTCCTTCAAAACGCTGGAATCAACGTCATGGACTTGCCATCGAGGTCCCCTGACCTTAATCCAATAGGGTGGGGAAGAGCATGTATGACAACCATGTATAACAGTATGTTTGGGATTGTCATACATGCTCTTCCCCACCCCAATGACAAATTAAACTTAAAAGGGGTGTATTTGTACCAAAATATACTCAGCCAATGATCTATCTAACATCCAGGCATTCTGAATGACCTGATCTCTAAGCGCATTGACAAACTGTGGTTTTAAAACAATTGCTATGATAGGCATGTAACACGGTTAAATTCTATCATTTTTTTTATTAGGACACAGGCAATCTTCCCTTAAATAACCTATTGATGTCTTGTCGAATCTCCTCAACATCTTGAAACATTAACATGAACCTTAAGAACTCGTAAGGTTTCAACACGTACCTAGGCATAATAATTCTAGAAAACAAGCAGTTATTCCTATTGTGGTTTGCATTTCAATGAGATTAGTATTTGAGTAAACCTGTATTTATGCATCGACAAAACACAATACATAGACAACCAATGCAGATATATACTCTTAACATTGATTTATTACAAATAACAGTTTCACAAAGTATGCAGTATTCTACATCACACTTTTGTTACGAATTCACATGACTAACCCAGCGGGTCACGTAAATCTGAGGTATTCCTACCAGGGCCAAATACGGACAGTCTGGAGACCATTTTTCCTGTTCATCCCAGGGATCATCATCTACTTCCCAATTCTTGAGAACGAGCCCACATTGGAAACACCTGCAAGCATCCCCTTTGATTAAGTACACAAATCCTGTCTGGGCCATTTGGCTTGGGCTCTGTTTCATCTGCACTGGCCAAGACTGAAAGGAATGGAGTCTTTTCGTGAATGAAGTCCATTCAGTCTTGACTGCACAGCAATTGGCAACGACAGTCTTGTCGAATGGTTAATGTCAACACACATCCATGATATCCCAGACCAATGGTACCACGTCCGCACAGGACAGTGTCTAAGCCAAGAATGGCTTTACACCCAGTGACTGTAGTCACTAGGATTACAGAAGGAACACATAAGGTACTCTATCCGATTCTGTTGGTCTTCCTGTAACAAACACGGTACCATGCCCTTCAGTTCTGGCACAAAGTCAGGTAATGCCTGGACACAGTCTCTCAGTTTCTTCCACTGATTCATGGACAGTAAGATACCTTTGGCAGTAGGTACGACTTAACCACTTAAATATTCCTTTTCCCACTGTCTGAGATCCACACCATTGTCATCCAGTATAGCATACATGTTCCCTCAAACATGTGCATATGAGCCAAAGTTACCGGATTTCATAGCCTCCTCTAACTGATTGAACACACGGGAAAGTTCCAACCAGTGCTTTAGTGTTAACATAATGCCTCTTTTGGTGGGATGAGACTTGCCACTCGAGTACACATCATACTTGCTGATGTGAATGTTTACTGCATCTTTCCATGACTGCTATCACAAACACATTTTCACCAAGATCCAGATGACAGCGAGGGTCCTGTAACTCTGTCTTATCATCCTTCCTCCGTCCACTGAATACGATCGCTTGTACAAATTGTTCAAAGGCGTGGGGTCCACATCTTGGTAAGGTCAACAGTAAGGTTCCGTTGTGGTCTATTTTAGTGTCTTGATTTTCCTACAAAGAATACAATGCATGCTGTTAAATTATGAACATTCGTGGAAAACACACAGAATACATGTATCTAAAGTACTGTCGGAAATAGAAAAAAACTGTTTTTAGGCTGTTACTCTGTATCCCTAAAATTGACACAATTGCAAATAGCATATGTCGAAATAACCCATTTCGGCCTAACTGGGCGTTCAGTGGGATGCGTAATACGAAATCCAGAAAAGCATGTTTACACGTAAAATCGGGCAAAACTTGTAAAAATACGAATAGCTGCTGAAAACAATAGATCAGACTATAGATGGCAATTAGGTCGCTCAGCCAGAGGCGTGTTCAGAACCGCGAGCGCCCGCGCGATTGGCTCCCGCGAGCGCTCGCATCAGCCCTGAACGGACGCGAGCGCTTGGTTACAATAAGCCATTCGTGACCAACTCGTGTTGTTCCGGGACAAGCCGAATAGCGGAGTCCATATGTTTACGGAAGTGACGTCACGAACCACGCTCACTCGTGTTCCGGTAGGCAGAAAGCAACAATGGCTGACGATAACAATGCGAACCGGTGTAGCGTAAAAAAGCAAACAATGGTCGGATTATGTACTGAACATGCCTGTTGAGGCACGCGAACGATACGAGACAAAGCTGAAGTATCGGCAGGGCACTTGCTCTTTGCCTGACCCGTATTGTTTGCGAAACGGCTGGGTGGATGATCCGACAACATGGCCAGGCATTTCTTTCACGGATATATATTTCTATCTGATAGACACACCAGGTCAGTTCACCCACGAATCTATGAGGGCCTTCAAGTCACTGAAAGCATATGAATATGTGGAAAGTGGACACGTTTATCCCATACAGTACCACAAAGTCGATGATAAGTCACCTCTGTGTTTGATGAGAACAAAGGTTATTCCTTCTCAGCGCCTACGTGAGAAACCACACCAGCCATGGGTCTGCATCGACAAGGCAGATGGAACAGTGTACTGTGCACATTGCACATGTATGGCAGGGTATGTAATTATATCTGATACGAAATAATAAATCATCTGCGTTTATTTTTTATAGTTTAATTTTAACTGTATTTAAAAACCTGTTAACTATCTATTTGTTATAATAATAATACCAAAATAATGATTTTTAAAGCAAATATGTAAAAAAGCTATTTGTCACATTTTTATATATTATCATAATTTTTCAGACTAGGGGAGGTTTGCAGTCACATAGCAGCACTGCTGTTTAAGGTGGATATGGCAGTGCGAGCTGGACTTACATCAAAGGCATGCACAAGTGATGCCTGCAAGTGGAATTCTGCTTATAGAAAAGAGGTGTGTACAAATTGAAGCAGTATGCATTCCTATGAACGAAGATGTAAGCTATTACAAGAAGGATAATATTAAATAGTATTTAATAAATACCATACAATACTTTTGCATTATCATATCATATCTTTATCCATATTAATCTGTATCGTATGTTCAGATTACCTGGATATGTAGATGTATATACTATGATATTTGCTATGTTTATATGATGTTCCCTGTATAACTTGTAAATATGTTTGGTGTCTGTTCTAGACATTCACTGTAATATACACACACATATATATATATATATATATATATTGTTTTTTCAGCTTCATCCAGTCCCGATATGTGAGGTACAGTCTCTTTTTGGACGGAAAAAAACAGTGGAGACTGTGTCAGCTAATGGTCGAGCACCACTTCCTGATATAGAAACCCTACGGTCACTGAAAGCTGTCTGCCCTGATGCCGTGTTTTTCAAGACCATACCCCCACTGGATGAAGAAGAAACAGACAGTGCGGATGAACATGAGGATATGCAGTCATTCCCACCTTCACTTACAAGTCTAAAATGTAATCCTGATGACTTGAAAAATGAAGACAAATTGGTTTGCCTTTGTAAAGAAAAATGGAACCAGTATCACTGTGAGCCTGACCAAATACAAAATCTGGAAGAAGTTACTAGAAATCAATCAATTAGTCCGTTGTGGTATGAACACAGGAAAGGCCGCATCACAGGGACTAAAGCTCATGCCGTCCTGGTTATGAAAGACACCACGGATCCCACCAACACGGTCAACAGTATTATGGGATATAACACCAAAGACCTTACTAAAATTAATGCAGTTGCATGGGGCATAGACAATGAAGACAAGGCTCGCAAATGCTACTCAAAACATCAGTCAGGACACCATAGAGACTTTAAATGTAGGTCTGCTGGAATATTGATCAGTTCCACTAAGCCATATATTGGCGCGTCCAGTGATGGAATTGTTACCTGTGATTGTTGTGGGAAAGGCTGTCTTGAAGTCAAATGTCCATACAAGCACAGAGACTCGGATATCACCACTGCAACTAAGGATCAAGGCTTCTGTTTGGATGATAACTTCATGTTGAAGAAAGGACATAAATATTACACTCAGGTTCAATTGCAAATGTATGTGCATGATGTCAGTTACTGTGATTTTGTTGTTTACACCAATATAGACATGGTGATTGCAAGAATACCTCGGGACATTGATTTTTGTGCCAAGATAGTGTCCAAATGTGAAAATTTCTTTTTTAAACATGTTCTTCCCGAACTCGTTTCTCGCAGAATTGAGAATTCCAGGCCAAATATGGATTGTGACACTAATACAGAGGAAGTTGTTTGGTGAACAATGTTTGGTGTTTGTGTCAGCAAGAAGAGTATGGACTAATGATCATGTGTGAGGGTGTTAACTGTTCGTACACATGGTTCCACTATCCTTGTGTGAGCATCCGTCGAAAACCAAAAGGATCCTGGTTTTGCCCAAGCTGTGTTATGGGTTGAAACATGAACTCAAATTGAATATTGAATACACAATGTATTTCATCTACAAAATGTATTCAACCTACAAAAATACATGCGTCCATGAAATCATTTGTACAGCTCATGTCCTCTTAATATCATACAACTGTAACTCGATGCATATGTCACTTTATCCAGAATGTTTGTGAAATCCATTATATTTATTGTTGTCAAATTATTATATTTCAATTATTAAGTGTCATGTTTCGCAAATTACAATATCACAGTATGAGAATATTTTGACATATATATTTGAACACATATCCTTGTCTGGCATTCTTGGGGCGGTGGGGTAGCCTAATGGTTAAAGTGTTGGCTCGTCACGCCGAAGACCCGGGTTCGAATCCCCACATGGGTACAATGTGTGAAGTCCATTTCTGGTGTCCCCCGCCGTGATGTTGCTGGAATATTGCTAAAAGCGGCGTAAAACCAAACTCAGTCAGTCTGGCATTCTTCTCATTCCACAAGGTGTGGAAGTAGATTGGTGATGGCACTGCAGATTGAGACTATGTTATCAGTGTGGGGCACAGTGTTGATGTTCATTGTGGTACTTATAATTTTAAAGTTTTTCAGTCTTTCAATGGCCCTCTCAACATGTATTCTCACTCTTGATAGTCTCCGTCCAGTTTCAATCTCTTTCGGGCTAAGTTGTGATTTCCCCTTTGTAAATGCTGGAATAGCAAGCTGTGCTCCACATGCAGATAGTTCATCCGAAATCAAAAATCCACGGTCCGCTAAAACCAAATCACCATGCTCCAATAGCTGCAAAAATCCAGATCGCTGTGTTATCACCTTGTCGGATACCCTGCCACCAAATGCCCTTGACACAAAAGCAATTGTTCCATTTGGGCATATGCCTACAAGAATCTTGACAGTGTTGTGGCTCTTGTAGTTTGACCAGGTCATTGCCCGGGCTGTAAAATTACCGGGTCTCTCCACAAAAATTTCAAAACAGTCAATGATAACCCTACATTTTTTATAACAGTCTTTAATTACCTTGGGCATAAACTTAACAATTTCTTCTTTCTCTGGCCAGTGAACTAAGAAGCACAACTTCTTTGCTAGGGGAGGCAGGGCACTGTTCATGAGATGGCTCACATGTTGTTTGGAAACTCCAAATCTGTAGGCCAGGTCCTGATTGACTAATCCCAGTCGTAGCTTCATCAACACAAGCATCATGACACTGGCAGGACTGAGCTGCATTGATGTGGGTAGCACAGAAGCACACAACTGAACCAGCCACAGAAACATTGCATGGTTTTTTAAGCCAGTGTAAAAAACAGTTCTTGCATCCCTCTTGTCACCTGCAAGAAATGAATCGCCAAACTTATTCTTTTCAAGTTTTTGTCTTGTCTCTCTCAACTCCTTCTGTAAAGTTTCCACTTCTTGAAGCAGCTGTTTGTTCTCCGCTTTTAGTGTCAGGATCTTCTGAAGACACGGGTCATGGATATCTGCTGAGAGAAAATTATTTGAGTGAAAATACTGTTGAAGTTACATACCGGTAATTGGGAGTGTTAGGCTCAAATAATATTTTGCAGCTGTCTACCATAACTGTATCTGGAAGGTTTTGTAACCACCCTGTAGCATAGATCAAAGCTACTTTTGTATGTGTTTTTATAAGAAGGAATAGTTGTAATGAAATGGAAATTCAATGCCATTTAGAGATTCTTTAAACTGTAGAGGCATGTGTTGTTGTAGTTGACAAGGAAGGTTTGGAGTAGTGTTTATTTAACATTTATGACTGGCAGGTGAGGCAGATTAGTGACCTTTCCTGATTATGGCATGGACTGAGTGACAATATGTAACTAAGCAAACAGGATGTGATGGATTATTTTTCTGCATTGTATTGTTTGAAAATGTGTGGAAGTGAATAAAACAAACATGCCTCCTTACAAGTTTGTGTTTTGTGTTTGTTGTTGGTTTGCATAAAGAAATGCAAAACAAACACTTGAGTTTTTGCATTACATCCCTGCTTGAAAAACTTACGGTATCGGGTTAAAGTGAGGTATGAAGTCTGGATTGTGAATATGGTACTTTCCACAAATGATTTAACAAAATAAAGGTTGTGTTCTTGTCTCATTATACATCCCAAACTACTCACTTACATAATTCAGAATGCTTAGTTATAGCATACATATTAGCTATTGTAATTATATTGTCTTTTTCCTGGAATACCTTTGTTTGGTGAGAGTTCATTTTCTTTTTCCTCCTCTACTGGGGCGCTGCTCTTGTTAAGTGACATTTCCATGAGAATGGAAGCAACATCTTCTTTTTCGCGAAGGTCCATTTCCTTTCTCCCCTTTTCATCAACCCGCCTTTGAGCCCTTAGAAATCTTTGCTTTTTTGCTTCAGGGGTGGCCAGTGATGTGGACTGATATCCCATATTAAGATGTGGGACAAAGTCAGGATCATTCTTGTCAGAGCTTGCAGATCCTATGTACAATAAACAATGCAAAATATGATACATACTTTAATAAATAATGATCTGATATTTAAAAGAGTTATGGTATTTTGAATTGCTCAGTTATCTGTGGAATTTGAGGCATTTAAAAACATAGTTATTTTGCGCCAAATTAAAGTGAATAAATTTCATCATTTCTACATATTTGACATATTAATACTGCAATTTACTTGGTAAACAGTTTAACGCAGGACTTTAATTACAAACATGTGTAGCTTGTGACAGTTTTGGTGATCGAAAACAGGACAATTATAAGTGATATATTTAGTTGTTCAGGTAATCACCGTGGAACTTCTTAAAAGTGTAGATATAGATTTAGTATTAATCATACCTGAAATGAAGTGATCCCCGCATACGCGATCTCCATTGTGCTCCGGGGTCCAGCCTTTCCGATTGATTGCCTGTAGCCACTTCTGTCGTCTGCAAGTTTCAGTCGGTACGCGATGAAATTTCACGCCTGAACCTTTCTTGAAACGATTCGCGCAGCCCACTACCACACAAGAAATGACCATCTTATCAAGACACTGAGTGTCAAGCCAAAAAAAACAGACCGGGAAGAGTTATTAAGTATGTAAAGTCGACGATCAAATGAGTGCAGCTTGTGTGGTTCTCTCGTGTTTATGTTTACCTTCTGCCTACCGGAAGTACTCGGGCGCGTCACATGATCAAAACACTGACGTCACTGTGGACTCTCCTATAGCTTCTTTATTATATTCTTAAGGGTGAAATACTGTAAATATTGGTGAAAATAAAAATGGTATTGTCATTTTCACTGAGTAGAATATCACTTTTGCCTGGAACTACGAAACCCGAACTACGAAATCGATGTCTCGATCATTTATAAACAATGATCAAAATATAATAAATATAATATTTTGTAAATATTGTCAATGGTTACGCAACTCGTGAACATATCAACTGTTTCAGACCACTCGATGACATATACATGTTATTTGACAACATTAACAAAATATTTTCCATGTCTTCTTTTTGGAGGTTACGGAAAGGGGGAAGTGGTGACGAATGACATTAAACATGATCGCCATCTTGGTTCGCTTGGCGAGGCAGCTGTGACAATGGTTCGCGTGCGCGCGCGTGCGCTCGAGCGGGCACAGGCGTTCAGGATCGAGCGCTCGCTAGCGTTTGCAGGCACTCGCGGTTCTGAACACGCCTCAGGTATGACGACGGACCGTCGACTCACCTGGCATGAAATGCACGTGCTGCCTACAGGCACAAGGGGTCATCTCAAAGATATTTTGTGCTTTTTCATGTGTGGTGACTATGTCTCATCTACTGATTAACATCTTACGTGTCTTTCTTTCATAAAGTTTATGTTGAGATATGTAAGAGAGAATGATACCCGAAAACCATAGAAACGCATCGTAGTATATAGGTGGCATGACCACCCGAAGATCGACAGGACTGGATAATATTTGTAAATTGTTACGAGGTGCCGTGTACCTCCCCAGTTAATGCCCTAAAGGATTATCTTATCTTAGCTGATATCTCTATCCCCAAGCCCAACCACAGGTTTTGCTTTTGAGGCGACCCCTCCTATCTGTTTCTTTTTATAGTGACAGTGAGACTGCGTGGTAGCTACATCCTTAATAGTTTCGACATAAAAGTTATTATTTTTTACGTCAGCTATCGTTTATAATGAATCTACGTCTAATTTCAAATTGGGCATTTAAAAAGTGTCCTTTGTAATACAATATCGTCGCACACTAATTTGCATAAAGCCATGGTCTGTCTGTCTGACTTTTGGACGCATTGCTCATTTCTGCACTAATTTCCCCTCAGTAAAGTCCCTTTTCTCCGTTTCCTATCTCTCTACCACTGAGACTGTAGTTAGGTCGAACTTAGTTTAACAGATATCTCACACTTTCACATATCAACTACATAAATAGAAGAAGTAGAGATAAATGTGAAAATACAGTTTTTTTTCTATTTCCGACAGTACCTTAACAATTGAGTCACAGAACGGCAATACGTTAGTCTGCTGTTGAAGGTTCCCTTGGCGACCCAGTCCCAGTTACTCCATGAAGGGGGTGGGACCCTAAACTCTGTTACGACACATCGTCTATGGCTGTTATATCAGGGAGTCTACATGTCGACAATCTTATCATGACCATAGGTCACGTGGTACCCAGTTATCGATGGAGTTGTCTCCCGTAGCTGACGACAGGATCCCATAGTGAAACACAAGAAATCAATATTGCTATAAATGCTCCAATTTGTGTAGATGTCATGCTTTAATGCGTTCAGGTTTACGGCTAGCAAGCACGCTGGTGTGCGACCTTGACCGTGATAGTTTCTTCGGCCCTGTGTGAAAACAAACGCTTGTTATTATTACAGACATTATTTCGAGTCGACGGGAGTAACCCCAGGCAGTTTTGTGCACGGACTTACATTCCTAACACTCCCTGCACTGCTGTAGTACAGACACACATAAATAACACTCACTGCAGTGCTATAGTACAGACTTACATGCCTAACGCTCACTTCAGTGCTGTAGTTCAGACTTACATGCCTAACGCTCACTTCAGTGCTGTAGTTCAGATTTACATAACTAACGCTCACTGCAGTGCTGTAGTTCAGACTTACATGCCTAACGCTCACTGCAGTACTGTAGTTCAAACTTACACGCTCACGTAGTAGTAGTAGTAGTAGTAGTAGTAGTGGTGGTGGTGGTGGTGGTGGTGGTGGTGGTGGTGATGGTGGTAGTAGTAGTGATGGTAGTAGTAATAGTAGTGTTGGTAGTAGTAGTAGTAGTAGTAGAAGTAGTAGTAGTGCTCGTCTGTTTCACCTGAGTTGTACCTGTCGAGTACCTGCGTCACGTGATTTGCTGCCTCATCAAGCTGACATACCTGGTATTACTACAATATTATCAAAACAACGTTTCTCACGCAGCAAAAATCAACACAAAACTACAAGTTATGCTGTAAAAACACAAGTAGGCGCTGTGAGAAATGAACATGTGTTTATCTGTTCCGGGCTGTTCATCAGCTACGACATGTCTTTACAGTGAGTGAGTGAGTAAGTTTAGTCTTACTCAGCTTTTAGCAATATTCCAGCAATGTCTCGGCTGGGGACACCAGAAACGGTGTTCACACATCGGGGAAGTAGGGATTCGAATCCGGGTCTTCGGCGTGACGAGCCAATGCTTGAACCACAAGGCTACCTCACCGTCCCGGTCTGAACCGTCTTAGCTGTTATATCAGGGAGTCTTTTATGTGGACGAGCTCATTGCGACCAGGGTAACCAGTAATAGATGTGAGGGCGGTGGGGTAGCCTAATGGTTAAAGCGTTGGCTCGTCACGCCGAAGACCCGGGTTCGAATCCCCACATGGGCACAATGTGTGAAGCCCATTTCTGGTGTCCCCCACCGTGATGTTGCTGGAATATTGCTAAAAGCGGCGTAAAACCAAAACTCAGTCAGTCAGTAATCAATGTACAGAGTTGTCTCCCGTAACTGATGACAGGATTCCCCTTGTGAAACTTTTTTACATTACATGAATTAGGGCTTGACTGTAAAGGATGACATTGTACATACTATGCTTTAAGCCTCCAAAAGTACACCTAGCGGGCTTATCTTGCCAGTGGCAGTTCATCAGATCTGTATGAAAACCAACAATTGTTATTTTAACAGACATTATTGCAGATCGACCAAATCATGATGTAGGGCTGGCATATTGCTCCATGCGACGTAGAACAAAACAACGCCATTTGCGTGATTTTGCTTTGACGTCGGTATATGCTTAACTGTTGTAGTACAGAAATTATTCTCGTATTTAATGCAGGAGTCTTGGGCATTGACTATTTTTTGCGTCCCTTAGACCTTTGAAAAAAATTGTGATTCTAGGCTCGGATCCTGTAGGTTCGGATCACAGATTCGATCTGGTGTCTAGGTTTGTCTGCACCATACCTGAACTCGTGGGTTTGACCAAACCTGTAAACGTTTAGGTCCAGTAGACCAAGATCTTTGCAAGAACATTGTAAGCTTCATCTTGGTGTTTTGGTATGACTTGAAACACTGTGGGCGTCGGCCTATAAATAGAGGTTAAATTCATAACAATAATAATATATAAACATTTTAATTCTACATTGTGCATAGTTAACATCATAGTATTGATTTGGTGATAAGTGCTCTCTGAACCCTGTGTTGTGGCCACGTACAGATTCACAATAAAAAACAGACTGGCCCCCGAACTCTGTTGAGGTGTCAGCCTGGTTCTCTGGATATTCTGCGCTGGCGCTACACTGCCTTCACTACTATGTGGCAGCCGTCAGGGGACCAGGTCGTGGAGGACAGAGACAGGAAACCAGTCTTTCCTAAAAATAGCTACAGTCGCGCTCGCAACGGAAATTCTGGCTAGCTATTCTCGAAACTTCTTAAGTCCTACGAACTTCTTAAGCCCATTCTTAACACATTGGCTACGTTCAAAGTTAAGAATTCTTAGGGCTACGAACGTTTCGAGAATAAGGCCCCTGTAAAAGAATTTACCTTCACCCCGAAGCCCAGAGGTGCTACATAGTGGTGGTACTTAAACGTAAGTAAATGCAACAGATTACGATTCGAAGGTAGAGCATTCAGTAACATCTACTCTTGGAGTTTGTTCGTGATCGTCTTATCTAGATATGTCACCGTTCGCTACAGTATCTCCACTATTGTATTGTATTGTTTTTGGGGTAGAATGCGCTTCTCTATCCAAGTAGCTATGAAATGCTCAATGATGTGATATTATTATAAGAAAAATGGATTCATCTCATATGAACCTTAAAAAAGAAAACCATATGTTTTATTGTGCATCTCATGTAAAAAATCAAAATCAAAATGGCACCGTCAGGACCCCAAGAAACAAACAAAACAGAGAAAGTGACAACCGTACATAAAATATTGAAAAAATGAAATCTTTAAATCACAAATGTGTCCTTATCATTGCTGATTGGTGGGAGCAAAATTTAAGGTCAAGAGTGTTCCATGTGATTTTAAAAATAGAAAAATAGTAGAGAAAAAATGGACGGACATGGATGAAATTCTCCCAAAACATGCCTTAATGTCTTTGCACTCACTATGTCAACCACAAATTCAAAGGAGAAGTGTAAAAGGAACTAAGTGGTAGATATGTTTTCATTGAATAGTTGCATATGCAGTGAGTGAGAGTACAAGTTTCCTGTCTTGTGTAATATGTTGCAGTCATCAGTGGTTATCATTATGACACCATTGGTCTGTTTAGGTTAGTCTAGCCCTACTTGATGTTAAATCTTTGATTTAGGGAATGTATAACGATTTTGATGATCATTTATTCGGTGAAAATTATGTGTAATATCCCACCAGTATGTATTACCTTGTCTGTCCATTTGTCCTGTCCGTCCGTCTGTAAATTATTTCGTTTCCGGAGCAGAACTTAAAAACCGTTCATTATTTCTTTCTGAAATTTTGTATGCATCAGCCAAGTACTGAAGTGGTGCCTTTTGATATTTTCAGAATACTAAAATTTATTTCAATGGCTAGACTTAGAATTGATTCCGGTAGTCTGTCGTACAAACCCTTGAGCTAATATATCCAAGAAAGCCCACATAAGTCTAGAAAATGTGGCAAGTCTAGATTTCCTCAGTTTCAGGAATGAAAGTCTCAGGACTCCTTTTCATTATATTATTTTTTTTTTACTATGAACTTTTTTCAGTAAAATATGTTCATTTGAGAGACTAGTTGTTGGTCTATGATTCCGGGTAAGGGTTTGTTTATGGATCAGAAAAATGATCTTAGGATTTATGTGGAACTGGTGGGATAGTCATCTTCTGATGATGTTTGTTGTCACATTGATATACAATAAACCTGACTTGACTTGACTTAACTTGATATAATAACTACTTTTAAAACAAATATAAAATATATATACTTAATATAAACTCATGTGAAAATTAAATGATATGGTAGAATTACCAAGACAAACAGGCCATGGGCTCTTAATAGACAAAGGCTGATCCTTTTATATTTTAGCATTCAGAATTTCCCAATTTGTTTCATTTGCAAATTGTCTAATTTTTCTAGACTAAACGACCCTTTCTCATTGCAAAAGCCACAAAAACTTTTACAAAATCACACAGATTAGCATTAACAAGGGGGGTTTAGGTTTCATAGGGAGGTAACTCGATCATGAAATTGATAAAAATGCAGACCACATGTGAAAGTCACCCATTTTGAATTTGTTTTAAATGCCTTTGTCACTTGAAAAAATATATTTTAAGGTATGATTTATTAAGTATATACTTTTTTCTTTAAAATAAGAAAGTTTCATTAGTGTAATAACACATTTTCCCCACAAAATCAAATTTTCAAAAACATATTTCATCATAACAAAACTATTAAACCAAGTCTAGCTGTAAATATAGATATTGCACATCTTCCATTTACCACAGCCTGTAGTGCATATACTGTTTCCCATCTTTGTAGAAGGGATTTGCTTCAAATCAACGTAAACTGAGGGTACCCTCAAGACCTTGGTTTCAGCCCTCACTGACTGAGGTCAGGATGAGTTATCCGCCCTTACCTTGAGCATTGCTACAAAATGTTGTTTTTCTGCCTTAAAACGTACCATACAAGTTGCTGCTCTCCTACCTAGAATAGTATCTCTGCCACAGGCCAGAAGAATGTGTCGATTCGTCACATATTGCACCGTCCATTCAATATAATTTACATATTTCTCAACTCTTCTATTTTTGACGAGTCTACACATCTAATTAACATCTTTGATAGAATGGTTTAGTTTCATTGAGAAAATATCCAAAAACATGTAACGCTATTTCGATTTGCATAGCGATTCTTTGTTTAGATAGGTTGTACGGCTACACGTGCTGTCATCGAAGCTGATATCTAAATATGTACTGTCATAGACCTTACTGTTGCAGTTGTGGAAGAATATATATGTAACAATGTAAAACATTATGAAGAGAGCACCGAAAAGCTTTCATGAGTCCAGTCTCTTCTTATTATGAATATGCTCGTTTGATTACAAACAAGAGAAAAGTCCGGTCAAGTGATATGCAAATAAGCCTCTGGCAGTGATGTTATCTTAGTCATGCTGTGCCGGAGTGTGACAAGTTGCTGCACACTCTGGCACAGCGATGACTAACATAACATCACTGCCACAGGCTAATTAAGTGTGAGTAGCTTTTATATGTATTATCCCACTTCTGGTGAAGTGCATATCAGTATATTAATAGTAAAAAATCGGAACTATTGACCCAATACATTCAGAACTTGCACACACGTTTTAAATGCTACTTGATACCATCAGTCCAAAGGAAATCATGAACTAGCATAAACTGCTGGTTTTTAAATGTTTAAAAGCATTATCCCAGTTCTGGTCAAGGGTACGTGACAAATAATAATAGTTAAACAATTCTGAAAATGAGAACTTTTGACCCAGTACAGTCAGAAACTGCTCACAAATTTCAAATGCTATTTCCTATCTTCAGTCTAAAGGAGATCTCGAAATTCTATAAACTGTGCTTCGAACCGAGGATGTGTACGAGGACATGACAAAACACATCGATTTGTACGATACGAGCGATTATCCATCAGATCACGCTTTACACAATACGACCAATAAAAAGATTGGTTGTTCAGGCGCATCGGGGTGGACGTCGATGGGCACAATATTTAACTCCGCCCTACGTCGAGTAATAATTTGAGGGAAATTCACCACCCTGTACGATAGTTTAGTTCACGTGGGTACCGAACGGTTACAACGTCTCATGGATACTTTAGTCGATTATAGCCTGGAGACCAGGGAACTCGCCACCCAGTAATCAACCTACTCCTTAGCCTACTTCGAGGAATTTATGACAGATCCTATCCATAAAGTCATCACTCAATATTACGGCTACGGTTAAAACAAGGACACATCCCACGACGGTCACACAACCCATCCACCCCTTTTTTACCCTACCATAGGAGAAGAATGAGTGGAGGTGAGCTGAAATTGGGTTTAACGTTGTGCTTGAGAATATTTCGCTCATATGACGACGTGCATGCGTGTGTATGTGTATGTGCGGCTGCTTGTACTAGCCCAGACTGAAGCTGGTTTTATAGTGCTAGCCCACTGAGATACCATGCCGCAGTGAAGCATGAATACCCCACTCAGACACATTATACTGACTCCGAGCCAACCAGTCCTTGTTGTACCCATTAATGCCGAGCGCCAGGCAGGGACGTCTTTTGGTATGACGCGGTCGGAGATTGAACCCGCGACCTTCCGCTCTCCGGGCGGATGCTCTAACCACTACACCCCGGAAGCGGTCAGAATGAGTGGAGGGGACCAGAGTTGGTGGTGTGAGAGGATTATACCTGTCTGGAGAAGAACGAGTGGAGCAACACGGAGAGATTGGTGTGAAAGGATTATAACTGACTAGAGTGGAATGAGTGGAGCAGAGTTGGTGATGTGAGAGGATTGTAGCTGACTGGAGAAGAATGAGTGGAGGGGAGTTAGCAGAGTTTAATGGAGAGAAACAAGTGAATGAGTGAAGTGGGGGGAGTGGAGCGAAATGGATTGAGAGTAGAGGGAGTGGAGCGGAGAGGACTGAAGTGAGTGAAAATGAGTGGAACAGAGGGAGTAGAGCAGAAGGAGAGGAGCGAAGTGAGCGTGGGGAGCCAAGTGAGTGAAAAATGGTGGAGCGCAGCAGAGGGAGTGGAGCGAAGTTATCGGAGAGAGTAGTGCAGAGTGGAGAGAACAAGGACAAGGAGGACAGAGTGGAGCAGAGACAGTGGACAGAGGCAGAGGAACAGAGGCACAGTGAGGAAAGAGGGAGGAGGAGGAAAGGAGCAGAGGATGGAAGAAGACAGAAGACAGAGGCAGGAACGGACACACAGGAAGGCACAGAGCAGTGGAGAAAAGTGAAGGCAGTGAGGAACAGAGGAAGGAGACAGGAAGACAGTGGAGGACAGGTGGAGGTGGAGCTGAGACAACGTGGAGCAGAGGAACGGAGGAGCAGTGGAGGCAGTGGAGCACAGTGGAGGAAAGGAGCACAAGGACAGTGGAGGAAGGACACAGGACAGAAATGGACAGAGACAGACACACAGGAACAGAGACGGAGAGACAAAGGAGGAAGGAAACGGAACGGAGGCAGAGGCAGACAGACACAGGAGGTGGAAGGAGACAAGTGAAACAGACAGGAGGCAGTGGAGCAGTGGACACACAGGAAAAGAAAGACAGCATGAGGAACAGAGGAAAGAGGGGTGGAAACGTGGAAAGCAGGAGGCACAGGAAAGAGACAAAGGGAGCAGAGGGAGCACAAAGGAGCAGAGGAGCTGAAAGACAGGAAAGGAGGATGGAGTGGATGGACAGACAGGCTAATGGACATAGGGACAGGGAGCAGAGGAAAAGGAAACAGAGTAGTGGAGCGAACAGAGTAGTAGTGGAGGAAAGGAGCAGAGGAAGGAATGGAGAGCACAGGAGGAACGAGGACAGGACAGAGGCACAAGGAAAGTGAGCTGGACCCAGGAACAGGAGGAAACAGACAGTGGGACAGTGAGGAGGCACAGTGGAGCAGTGGATGGAAGGAAGAACAGTGGAGCAGAGGAAGAGTGGAAAAGGAGGAGGAATGGACAGTGGACAAGGAGCAGAGGAAGGAGTGGAGCAGGAGGACACAGAACGACATGGAACAGAGAAAGAGGGAGAGACACATGGAAGAGATGGAAAAAAGGAGGAAGGAGTGGAAGGAAGGAGAGGAGTGGAGGAAGAGGAGGAGTGGAGGAGGTGAGAAAGAGGAAACAGAGGGAGTGGAGGAAGAAGGAAGGAGTGGAAAGAATGGAGGAAGGAGTGGAGCAGGAGGAAAAGGAGGAATAGTGGAAGGAGAGGAGTGGAGGAAGGAGATGGAATGGATGAAAGGAAGAGTGGAGAGAGGGAGTGGAAGGAAAAGAGTGGAGGAGGAATGGAAGGGAGTATAGTGGAGTAGAGGGAAGGAGTGAGGAGGGACAGTGGAGTAGTGGAGAGGAAATGGAAGGAGAGGGAGTAGGACGAGTGGATAGTGGAGGAATGACTGGAAGGAAAGAGTAGTGGAGGAACGAGGAAGGAATGGGAAGGAGTGGAAATGATGGAATGGAATGGAGGGAGTTCATGGTGTGGAGGATAGTGGAGTGGAGTGGAGGGGATGGAGGAAGAGGAAGGAAGGAGGTAGATGGAGTGGAATGGATGGAATGAGGGGAGCGGAGTGGAATGGACGAACTGGAGACAGCGGAGAACGAGTGGAAGAGCAAGCAGTGGAGCAGTGGACAGAGTATAACGGAGCACAGGCAGCCGGAACAGAGTGGAGGAGTGGAACGGATGGAAGGAAACGTGGATGGAGCAAAGGAAGGAGCAGGAGCCGAGGAGCCGGACAACACAGGAGCAGGAATGGAGGAACGGAGGAACGTGACATGGAAGGAACGAGGAAAAGGAGGAGCAGACGGACACAGGACAACGGAGGAATGGAGGAACAGCACAAGGAAACGAGTGGACGAACGGAGTGGAGACAGTGGACAGTGAGCAGAACGGATGGATGGTGAAACGGAGGAACAGAGGAACGATGGAGCAGTGGAGACAGGAGGAGGAAGCAGGAGGAAGGAAAAAGAAGGCCACAGAGACATGGAAGGACAGGAGGAACAAGAGGACGGAAGGAAACGGAGGACAAGGAGAGCACAGCCGAACGAGCCGAGCAGTGGACAGAGTGGAGCACAGTGAGCCGAACGCAGTGGACAGACAGGTGGACAGACAGCATGAGGAGCATGGACAGACGGAGGAGTGAGCACAGGAACGAGGAAAACGGAGACAGGAAATGAGCCACAAGGAAGTGCATGGACAAGGAGCAGAAGGAGCATGGAGGAGGCACGAACGAGACAGGACAGAGGACCGGACAGGAACAGGAGACGGACAGAGGAGGAACGAGGGAGCCGGAGTGGAAGAGGAAGGAGGAATGGAGGGAGACAGGAAAGAGGAAACGAAAGAGGCAGGAACAGAGGAAAGGAGTGGAGAAAGAGGAAGGACAGGAATGGAAGGAACGAGTGGAGGAAGGAGGAAAGGAGGAATGGAGGAAGGACAAGGAAAGAGAAGGAACAGGAGGAAGGAGAACAGAGGAAGGAGGAGTGGAGACAAGGAGGAGTGAAGAAGGAACAGGAGTGGATGGACAGGAGACAGTGGAGGAAAGGAAGGAGGAGTGGAGGAAGGATGGAGGAAGAAGGAACAGAGGGATGGAACAGAAGGAGACAGGAGAACGGAGGAGGACAAGGAAAGGAGGAAAGGAATGGAGTGGACAGGAAACGGAGGAAGGAGAGTGGAGGAGCAGGTGGAGGAGGAAAGGAGGAAAGGATGGAGAGGAAAGGAGGACAGTGGAGGTGGAGGAAGGAGGAGGAAGGAGGAGAGTGGAGAGGAGTGGAAGGACAGATGAAAGGAGGAAGAAGGAAGAAGAACAGGAAACGGAGTGGAAGAACAGAGAAAAGGAACAGGAATGAGAGAGGAAGGAGGTGAGGAATGGAGGGAAGGAGGAGTGGAATGGAAGGAAGGATGGAAGAAGGAACAGAGGAATGAATGGAGTGGATGGAGGAAGGAAGGAAAAGAGAGAAGAGGAATGGAGGAAGGAAGAAAAGGAGAGGAGTGGAAGGAAGAGAAGAATGGAAGGAGTGGAAGGAAGGAGGAGGAAGTGAGGACACAGAGGAGTGGAGGAAGGAATGGAGTGGATGAGATGAGGTGGAGAGGAGTGGAAGAGGAAGGGAGTACATGGATGAAAAGAGTGGAGGAAGAGGAGGAAATGGAAGGAAGGGAGGAGTGGAGGGAGGAAGGATGGAAAGAGAAGGATGGACAGGAGGGAATGGAGTGGAAGGAGAGTGGAGTGGAAGGAAGGAGTGGAGTGGAGGGAGACAGGAGGAAGAGGAGGAATGGAGGGAAGGAGGAGTGGAGGAGTGGTGGAACAGTGGATGGAGGATTGAAGGGAGGCAGGAGTGGAAGGAAGTGGAGTGGAAATGGAGGGAATGGAGAAAATGGAAGGAAGAGAGGAACAGGAGAGAGTGGAAAGGACAGGAATGGAAGGAGTGGAGCGGAAGAGTGGAGGATGGAGAGGAGTGGAAGGAAGGAGGAATGGAAGGAGGAGCCACTGGAGTGGCAGAGACAGCGGAATGGACAGGAGTGGAAAGGAAGAGAGCAGCAGGGAAGAGGGAGCGGAGGAAGAGAGGAAGGAAAGAGGAGGAGTGGAGTGGAAGGGAGGAAGTGGAGCAGGAGTGGTAGTGGAAACAGGAGGAAGGAGGTGGAAACAGAGGAGGCATGGAGTGGAGGAAACAGAGGACAGTGGAGCAGGAAGGAGCCGGACAGAGGAAACGAGGAAACGAAGGGAGCCGGAGCTGGAGTGAACGGAAGCAAGTGGAGTGAAACGGAGGAACAGGAGGAATGGAGGAAGACACGGAATGGAGAGAAAGAACAGAGGGATAGAGGAATGGAGGAAGGAATGCACAGGAAGGACGTGGAGAGGAAGGAACAGTGGAGGAGCAGGAAGAGGCAGGAAGGAAACAGACAAGGACAGAGGACAGCAGAGGACACAGAAGGACAGAGGAGGCAGTGGAGGACAGACAGGAAGGAGCCGGCACGAGGAACAGAGGCACAGTGGAGCACAGGAGAAGGAAGGAGCACAGGACAAGGAGTATGGAGCAGAGGTGGAGGAAAGGAGGAACAGCAGGAAACGAGAGAGTGGAAACAGAGGAAAATGGATGGAGCAGTGGAAACGGAGGAACGGAGACACAAGAGGAAACAGGACAAGGAAAACGAGACAGGAACAGAAGGAGGAACAGGGAGGAAACAGACAGACAGAGGACCAGGAGGACAATGGATGGAACGCAGGAACGTGAGTGGAGCAGAATGGAGGAATGGAGGAAAAGGAATGGAGGCAGGAACAAGGAAACAGTGGAGGAGGACAAGGAGGACATGAGGGAACAGAGGAGTGGATGGAAGAGAGGAAACAGAGAGGAGTGGATCAGAGTTAAGGATGGAACAGAGACATGGACAGGAGGAAAAGACAAGAAACGGAGACACAGAATGGACAGGAATGGAGGAGGACAGGAGGGTGGAGGAACGGAGGACAGGAACAGGAAGGAATGGAGGAACTGGAGTGGAAGGACGGAGAAGGAAAAAGGAGGGAAGGAGAGGAAAGAGAAGAGGAATGGAAGGAGGAGAGAAGGAGAAAGTGGAAAGAGGAGGAGGAACGAGAGACAAGGACAGAGGAGGACAGTGGAGCATATGGAGGGAGGAGGAAGGACAGTGGACACAGACAGAGGAGCAGTGGAAACAGTGGAAGGAAATGGAGGAGCAGTGGACAGAGGAAGGAAAAGGGAACAGAGTGGAAGGAAGAGAAAGGAGGAGAGGAGGATGGAGAAAGGAGCAGGTGGAAGGATGGAGAGTGGCAGTGGAGGGTGGAGGAAAGGAATGGAGGAGTGGAGGAAGGAGGATGGAGGAAGAGTGGAGGAGGAATGGAAATGGGACAGAAAGGAGTGGACAGGAGAGGAGTGGGAATGGAATGGAACCACAAAGAAAGGAGGGGAGTAAGAACAGAGTGGAAGGAGCATGGAGGAGTGGAAGGAAGAAGGAGAGGAGTGGACTGACTAAAGGAGAGGAGTGGAGGACAGACTTGAAGGGGGAGTGGAGGACAACAGACTTGAGTGGATGGAGTGGAGGAGTGGAGGAAGGAATGGACAATGGAATGGACATGGAGGAGGTGAACTGGAGAGTGGAGGTGGAGGACAGCAGAGTGGAAGGAGTGGAGGAGTGGAGGACAAGAGTGGAGGGAGTGGAGTGGACACAGTGGATGGATGGAGTGGAGAAAGAGAGGGAGTGGAGCACAAAGAGGAGGAGGGAGTACAGTGAGTGGGTGGAATGGAATGGAGAGTGAGTGCAAGGGGAGTGGAGCACAGCAGAGAGTGAGTTGAGGGGCTTGCATAGCAGAGCGAGTGAGTGGATTTAGCAGAGCACATCAGAGTGAGTGAGTAGATGGAACAGAGCATGGCAGAGCGAGTGAGTAGGGGAGAGCAGAACAATGCAAAGTGAGTGATTTGAGTTGAGTGGACTACAGGAGAGTGAGTGAGTGGAAATGAGCAGAGCACAGTAGAACTAGTGTGCAGCGAGGAGCACTGCAGAGTGAGTGAGTGGAGTGCAGGGGATCACAGCAGAATGAGTTAAGGGGAGTGGAACACAGGAGAGCCAGTGAGTGGATGGGAGTGGAGCAAACCAAGTGAGTGGACACAGCGGAGCACAGCAGAGTGAGTGAGTTAGTTGCATGCAGGGTATGACAGCAGAGTGAGTGAGTTGAGCGGAGCATGAAAGAGCGAGTGTGTTGAGGGGAGCAGAGCACAGCAAGGCCAGTGAGTGGAGCAGAGCAAGCAGAGTGAGTGTTGGAGAGCGAGTGAGTGAAAAGGAGTGGAGCACAGCAGAGTGAATGAGTGAAGGGGAGCAGAGCGAGTGAGTGGATGGAGCGGAGCACAGCAGAGTGAATGATTGAAGGGGAGCTGAGTAGAGTGAGTGAGTGGATGGAGAGGAGTACAGAAGTGCAAGTGAGTGAAGCTGAGCAGAGCACAAGAGAGTGAGTGAGTGGGTGGAGCGGAGCACAGCAGAGTGAATGATTGAAGGGGAGCTGAGTAGAGTGAGTGAGTGGATGGAGAGGAGTACAGAAGTGCAAGTGAGTGAAGCTGAGCAGAGCACAAGAGAGTGAGTGAGTGGGTGAGCGGATCACAGGAGATGGAAAGGAGTGGAGCACAGAAGAGTGAGTGAGTTGAGGTGAGTGGAGCAGACTGAGTGAGTGACAACATCGGAGCAGAGAAAGTGCAAGCGAGTGAAGCTGAGTGGAGCACAGGAGAATAAGTTAGTGGAGCAGAGCACAACAGAGTGAGTGCGGGTGAGCTGAACACAGGAGATGGATAGCAGTGGACACAGGAGAATGAGTGAGTTGAGCAGAGCAAAGCAGAGCGAGTGAGTGGATGGAGCGGAGAACATAGGTGCAAGTGAGTCATTGAAGGTGAGCAGAAAGAGTTGAGGGGATTAGAGCACAGTAGAGTGAGTGAATGGATGGAGTGGAGCACAACAGAGAGCTCAGCAATTTTTTACATGACATGCAAGGAAGTCGCTTACCTCTTGCAGAAATTTTAGGGGGGCATCATTTACATTGTACATGCTTCCCCATAAAATTCATCTTCGACAATTGTGTATTATTTTTTCCTGATCTAAACCCCAAAAATATGATTAAACTGGTCTCCCAACGAAAAGTTCTGTTGCTGGATCTAAAGGTGCCCCAAGTGTTTAATGACATGATGTGTCACTTCTTATGATATCTGCCATTTAAATGATATTATTATGCATTATTATTATGTAATTAAATTTATCAAAGATAGGTGTAATTATGTTCCCATGAAGACATATTTGAATTATTTCAATGCTGTGTTTTTATACAATGGGTATGCTGATGACAGTATTTGGGTTAAATGGAATAATAATCAAATATACTCATTGCTATTAACCAATTTTACACAATGGTGTACACTGGTTTGCAAGACATCTATTTGTTTTTTGTTTTGACAGAATAATGAACTATTCATAGTCTGTAAATATGTAACGTCAGTAAAAGTTTGGATATTAAACAGCCGAATACAGTTCATTGTGAGACTTTAGGGAGGATAATTATACATCCCGTCATTGGCATTTTCCATACTGAACATTGAAAATCACTCAAATGTGCTGTGTGTGGGAAGACATTTTTAAAGTATCAGGTTTGTTATGATGCAATGTGTCACACCATCTTATTGTGTATGGTCCCTAACCTAGTTATATGAGAGTGACAACGTTTCTTATATTTTCATCCACAGGTTAGTGATGGAAGTTGACAGCAATCCACAGAATCCTTTCTCTGTCACTGAAACAAATGACATCTGTTACAGGGATTTGCTGGAAACCACAAGAAACATATTTATTGACACCTTCAAAATAGGTGATCTCAAGAAAGAACCTGTTATTGAACCCTGGAAACTGGTGTTCTCATGAAAGAACCCTTTTATTAGAACCCTGGAAATAGTTTCCAAATGGTTTGGAGAATCATCAAAACCAACAAAACAGTCTCATACATGATGTGAAAGCCTGGAAACATTTTCTAAATCAGGTGAGTTGAAAAGATGCGTGTTCTGTCACAGTGGCGTCAAGATTTTGAGTGTGCTTGATGTGGGAAAACATTCACACTATCAGCTAATCTCCAGACACACGTGAAGATCCACAGTGGAATTAAGCGCTATGAATGTGGGAAAGCATTTACACGATCAGGTTATCTTAAGAAACACATGAAGATTCACAGTAGAATGAAGCCATATGAATGTGTTGAGTGTGGGAAAACTTTTACAGGACCAGATAGTATGCAGAAACACATGAAGATTTACAGTGGAATCAAGACATGATTGTGGTGAATGTGGGAAAAAATTTACGCTATCAGAAACAAATGAAGATTCACAGTGGATTCAAATCTCATCAGTGCATTGTGTGTGAGAAAACATTTACACATTCAAGTAGTCTACAGACACACATGAAGATTCACAGTGGAATCAAGCCTCATGAATGTGTTGAATGTGGGAAAAAATTTGCACGTTCAGGTCATATGCGGGCACACATGAGGATTCACAGTGGAATCAAACCTTATGAATGTGTTGCATGTGCGAAAACATTTACAAATTCAAGTAATCTACAGAAACACATGAGGATTCACAGTGGAATCAAACCTTATGAATGTGTTGAATGTGCGAAAAAATTTACAAATTCAAGTAATCTAGAAAGACATATGACGATTCACAGTGGAATCAAACCTCATCAGTGCATTGTGTGTGAGAAAACATTTACACAATTAGTTAATATGCAGATTCACATGAGGATTCACACAGGAATCATACCTTATGAATGTGGTGAATGTGGGAAAAAGTTTACACGTTCCAGTAGGCTCCAGGCACACATGGGAATTCACAGTTGAATCAAACATTATGAATGTGTTGAATTTAGGGGAAAAGTTTTAAAATATAAGTAATCTGCAAACACATATGAGGATTCACAGCGGATTTAAGCGGTATTAATGTGGGAAACATTGTGAAAAAATCATGTGGGAAAAATCATGTGCAGGCACACACGAGAATTCACAGTGGAATAACGGTTGATAAATATGTTGAATGCTGGAAATAATTTACAAATTTTTAATGTTATGCTATCTCACCGGTTGCATTCTCTCTCTCTAATGATCAACAGCTGAGTGGAAAAAAGATAAAGTAGTTGTGAAGATACACATGAGTATTCACAGGGTAATGAAGCCTTATAAATGTGTTGAATGTGAAAATTATGTACACAATCATGTACTCTTTGGAAGCACAGGAGGATTCACAGTGGAAACAAGCCTTATGAATGTGTTGAATGTGCGACAGAACTTTACACAGTGAAGTCATCATCAGAATCACAGGAAGATTCACTGTGTAATCAAGCAGTGAAGACTTGTCACTGTGTTGGGTTTGAGAAGGGATGTACAGCTGTAGGCACCCTGTAGAACACATAAGGATTCAAAGTGGAATCCTGTCTTATCAATGTGTTGAATGTGGGAAACCATTTGCACTGTCAGCTACTCTTAGCCAGTAAACACATCAGAGGAGTCTTAGTGTTATGTATATGCACAGTGCATATATACTAGCCACATAACGTCATTTGACCTCATTTTCAAGGTCACACGCCATTTTGACTACTTTTCAAACTCTTAACGCAATATCACATATCATTGTACCCAACGTCTTCAGTTATGTCGACAACCTACATTGGGTGATTATACAGACACCAGTCATTTCAGGCATCTTTTATATGACAAAAATATAAAAAGTAATAAATATGCTATAAATATGTCGTTCTTCTTTAGCGGCGAGGGACATTGCCATATTAGAGGCAAACACTTGTTTTTATTTAAATGTGATAAATTTCAGCAGATCAGAGCTGAAGGAGTACAGAGAAGGTTCAAATTACTGTAATCGTTCTTTAAATGATTTGTTCAAAGCATCAACAACAAACTCCTAAAAGACATGATATTGGCAAGTGTATTTGACCTTCTTGGAACAATCGTCCACAGTATTACAAGTGATTGTAAAGGTTTTCTAATATATTACACGTGTAAATAGTAAATATTCCAATATTGTGTGGGTTCTGTTTAAAGACAATAGGAAGAGTAGTCCATATATATCCTAGCGCTTCATCTTATTGCGGCAGGACCGCCCAAACTGATGCAGGTCTCTTATGTTCACTACTTAGGTGATGGTGGCAGGACCGCCCTAACTGATGCAGGTCTCTTATGTTCACTACTTAGGTGATGGTGGCAGGACCGCCCTAACTGATGCAGGTCTCTAATGTTCACTACTTAGGTGATGGTGGCAGGACCACCCTAACTGATGCAGGTCTCTTATGTTCACTACTTAGGTGATAGAGGCAGGACCACCCTAACTGATTCAGGTCTCTTATGTTCACTACTTAGGTGATGGTGGCAGGACCACCCTAACTGATGCAGGTCTCTTATGTTCACTACTTAGGTGATGGTGGCAGGACCGCCCTAACTGATGCAGGTCTCTAATGTTCACTACTTAGGTGATGGTGCTGACAAACCTAGAAACATAATCAAGAAAAATACGGATTTGAGTGGGTGAGTTTAGTTTTACGCCGACAATATTTCACCAGCATAAGGACGGAGAACAGCAGAAATTGGCTTCACATTGTAGCCATGTGGGGAATCGAACCCAGTTCTTCTGCATGACAAGTGAACAAGTTATCCACAAGGCTACCTCACTGACCCCAACACTGATTTCAACCCACCATTACAGGTTCCAGGTGTGCTCAAGGCACTTAACTCTACACAGCAAATTGCGATATCTTAGACGCCAATACCCCAAGGAGATGGGATGTGATTGTTGACCTTTTAGTGCCACACAAATTGCGTGGGTGATACTCTCAGTCTCACCAGGGAGCAGAGTATTAAAATCAATTGCAGCTAGTGATCGAGTGAGCTTCGTTTACACCGCTTTTAGCAATATTCCAGCAATATCATGACAGGTCCATCAAAATGGGCTTCATATATTGTACCCATGTGGGGAATCGAACTCGGCATGGCAAGTGAATGCTTTAACCACCAGGCTGCCTCACCGCCCGTGCAGCTATTGTGCAGCTGGAGTAACAATACAATCTATCACGGTCTAGGTGCACATAACAAGTTACAGATTGTAAAGTCACATCATGATGCTAAGAATTTACGTAATAAAAAACATTTCAAACCTGCTACATTATCATGTTTACATAAAGACAATTTTAGACAGCAGAATACAACAAGTTAAGGCCACAAATCACATTCAGTGTTTTTAGATGCTTGATGGGCATTTAGAAGTTGGGAGGTAACACAACAACGTATGGTATGGATTTACAACTTCTTTAATATTTGCAACACAACGTTTCTTACATGTCTAACGCCCACTGCAGTGCTCTAGTTCAGACTTACATGTCTAACGCCCACTGCAGTGCTGTAGTACAGACTTACATGCCTAACGTTCACTGCAGTTCTGTAGTACACACATACATGTCTAACGCTCACTGCAGTGCTGTAGTCCAGACTTACATGCCTAACGCTCACTGCAGTGCTGTAGTACAGACTTACATGTCTAACGCTCACTGCAGTGCTGTAGTACAGACTTACATGGCTAACGCTAACGCTCACTGCAGTGTACATGTAACGTACAGAGTGCTAGTACATGTCTAACGCTCACTGCAGTGCTGTAGTACAGACTTTACATGTCTAACACTCACTGCAGTGCTGTAGTACAGACTTACTTACATGTCTAACGCTCACTGCAGTGCTGTAGTACAGACTTACATGCCTAACACTCACTGCAGTGCTGTAGTACAGACTTACATGTCTAACGCCCACTGCAGTGCTGTAGTACAGACTTACATGTCTAACGCTCACTGCAGTGCTGTAGTACAGACTTACATGTCTAACGCTCACTGCAGTGCTGTAGTACAGACTTACATGTCTAACGCTCACTGCAGTGTTGTAGTACAGACTTACATGTCTAACACTCACTGCAGTGCTGTAGTACAGACTTACATGTCTAACGCCCACTGCAGTGCTGTAGTACAGACTTACATGTCTAACACTCACTGCAGTGCTGTAGTACAGACTTACATGTCTAACACTCACTGCAGTGCTGTAGTACAGACTTACACTACATGTCTAACGCTCACTGCAGTGCTGTAGTACAGACTTACATGCCTAACACTCACTGCAGTGCTGTAGTACAGACTCACATGCCTAACGCTCACTGCAGTGCTGTAGTACAGACTTACATGTCTAACGCCCACTGCAGTGCTCTAGTTCAGACTTACATGCCTAACGCTCACTGCATTGCTGTAGTACAGACTTACATGCCTAACGCTCACTGCAATACTGTAGTACAGACGTACATGCCTAACGCTCACTGCAGTGCTGTAGTACAGACGTACATGCCTAACGCTCACTGCAGTGCTGTAGTACAGACTTACATGCCTAACGCTCACTGCAGTGCTGTAGTACAGACTTACATGTCTAACGCTCACTGCAATACTGTAGTACAGACTTACATGCCTAACGCTCACTGCAGTGCTGTAGTACAGACGTACATGCCTAACGCTCACTGCAGTGCTGTAGTACAGACGTACATGCCCAACACTTACTACAGTGCTGTAGTACAGACGTACATGCCTAACGCTCACTGCAGTACTGTAGTACAGACTTACATGCCTAACGCTCACTGCAGTGCTGTAGTACAGACGTACATGCCTAACGCTCACTGCAGTACTGTAGTACAGACGTACATGCCCAACGCTTACTGCAGTGCTGTAGTACAGACTTACATTCCAAACGCTCACTGCAGTGCTGTAGTACAGACTTACATGTCTAACGCTCACTGCAATACTGTAGTACAGACGTACATGCCTAACGCTCACTGCAGTGCTGTAGTACAGACGTACATGCCTAACGCTCACTGCAGTGCTGTAGTACAGACTTACATGTCTAACGCCCACTGCAGTGCTGTAGTACAGACTTACATGTCTAACGCTCACTGCAGTGCTGTAGTACAGACGTACATGTCTAACGCTCACTGCAGTGCTGTAGTACAGACGTACATGCCTAACGCTCACTGCAGTGCTGTAGTACAGACTTACATGTCTAACGCTCACTGCAGTGCTGTAGTACAGACGTACATGCCTAACGCTCACTGCAATGCTGTAGTACAGACTTACATGCCTAACGCTCACTGCAGTGCTGTAGTACAGACTTACATGTCTAACGCTCACTGCAGTGCTGTAGTACAGACTTACATGTCTAGCATTCACTGCAGTGCTGTCGTTTAGGCATTCATGCACACTCATTCTATACCTTAAAGATTAGCGGCTCAGACTTACAGGCTCAGCCTTACACTCATGTCATCACGTTAGTTCCGCAGACAGGTGCGTAGTTCAAGGGACATTTTCTCTGACACATGCGAATGTCAACAGCACCAACCGCTGTAAAACAACGGAATTAGTTCATGAAGATTTTGTTAAAGGCTGATAAATAGTTTCCATTTGCATCTGGGCTCATGTCGCGCTTGCGACTGATATATTGAAGACTCGGGGTGAACAGGTTTACAGACACACAGACAGACAAGCACTGTTCGCACGGTTTATATCAGACTTGTGCATTCGGATTTCCTTGGTTGAAACAAAAAAGCAAACTCAACACAAAGCTACAAAATATTTAGAATAATTACAAGCTAAGGCTATACTCACCAGCCAAACCAGAGCACAGGCCATGAAGGTTCGTAACATTATATTCACTTGTGTGTGAAATGAATAACTGGCGTTAAGTGTTCTTGTTTTGGGTTTTATCTGTTTTGACCTGTTTATCTGCAGGATTGATAACTTTATTATGTTTACATTCCGTAAGGGGCGGCAGCCAATTGCACCAGTCCAGACAGTTGTAGTAGTAATAGTAATAGTAGTAGTAGTAGTAGTAGTAGTAATAGTAGTAGTAGTAGTAGTAGTAGTAGTAGTAGTAGTAGTAGAGAGAGAGAGTCTTTATTTCCTCCAGACGATCATCCGAAGATCAAACATATTATACACATGTAAATACAAGAAAGGGGGCAAAGTTACAACTTGATATAGATGTATATACAATTATATTAATCAAGATGAATACCTAAAGCTACAATTTACATAAGAACATACATGTATATGAGAATACAATTAATTTATACAAGAAACTTCCGAAAGTGGACATACATCATTATACATCTGCAGAGATCAATCAGTGTAACATTGTAGGAGATGTCGTCTTATTCGGTAAATGTAGTAGTAGTAGTAGTAGTAGTAGTAGTAGTAGTAGTAGTAGTAGTAGTAGTAGTAGTAGTAGTAGTAGTAGTAGTAGTAGTAGTAGTAGTAGTAGTAGTAGTAGTAGTAGTAGTAGTAGTAGTAGTAGTGGTAATAGTAGTAGTGCTCGTCTGTATCTGTCTCACGTGATTTCCTCACTCATTAAGCTGACATACCTGGTATTACAACAATATTATATAATTAACAAGACAAAACCCCGAAACAAAGAAAGCGCCATTTGCATTGTTTTTTCTCTGTTATTATCTGTGATCGTAAGCATATTTAATGCAGCAGCCTTGGGCGTTGACTAATGATTTGCGCCCCTTAGGCCTTTGACAGGAGATGTTATTCTGGGTTCAGATCCTGGAGGTCTGGAGGTTCGGATCTGATATTCGATCGGGCTAGTTATTCTCGAAACGTTCGTAGGGCCCTTGTTCTCGACTTGATCTAGAACTAGTACTACTGTTGACGCCAGGTTATAAATAGAGGTTAAATTCATAACAATAATAATATATGAAATATACATGTCAACTTTATTTAATCTACATTGTGCGTAGTTAACATCGTAGTATTGATTTGGTGATGAGTGATCTCTCAACCCTGTGTTATGGCAACGTGCAGGATCACAATAAAAACAGACTGGCCCCCGGCCTCTGTTGAGATGTCAGCCTGGTTCCCTGGGTGTCTTGCGCTGGCGCTACCTTGCCTTTGCTATAATGAGTCAGCCGCCAGGGGACCAGGTCGTCGAGGAAACCAGTCTTTTCTAAAAATAGCTTCAGCCTCGTTCGCAACGGAAATTCCGGGTTGTCGTTGTTTCACCCTGACGCCGAGAGGTCACTCGAACGGAAGTATATGCAGCAGAGGTAAGTCTTCCAGGAGTCGCCACACGGGAATTAAAAGAAGGAAAGACTAACCCAAACCGAAACTCTACCCCTAAAAACATAAAGCTGAGTATTAGAGGAGAGGATTATTGGTAAAGGGATACACCCGAACCGGCCCCTGGATATTTAACCCAAACCGGCCCCTGGATATTTAACCCAAACAGGCCCCGCACCCGAACCGGCCCCTGGGTTAATTAACGGTAATCAGACAGACATGAAGATTTCAATTAATTTATTACATAAATACAGACATGAAGATTTCAGTTAATTTATTGAATATATACAGACATGAAGATTTCCTTTTCCTTATTGTGCCATCCTGAAGCTACTTCTTAGAACTTTATGAGAGATGTTATTAGAATAAGGGTCTGGGATGGAGTCTTGATGCCCTGTGAATATTCTGTCCAAATGTCTTGTATCTGCTGGTTTTCGTTACATCACACCCCATCTGCTAATGCCTGTCTTTAGAATAATACACTTATATTATCATAGGTAGTTACCGCGAGGGCGGTGGGGTAGCCTAGTGGTTAAAGCGTTGGCTCGTCACGCCGAAGACCCGGGTTCGATTCCCCACATGGGCACAATGTGTTAAGCCCATTTCTGGTGTCCCCCGCCGTGATATTGCTGGAATATTGCTAAAAGCGGCGTAAAACTAAACTCACTCAGTCAGTCAGTCAGTTACCGCGATTGGTGGCGTGACAGTTGACCCCAGGCCAGCAACTGTGGTATCTGGGGTACATGCAGGGCTTATTATCCATGATTAACAAATTATGAATCATATCCTTCAGATAATGTCTTTTAGAAGATTATACGCAAGGTGAAGATAACGGTATACGGTGCAGTTGACATTGATCGAACGCAATCAGTGTCAAGTAAGAGCATACGCTTAAGACAACATGTACATTTATTCGCTCTCGATAATCCGTTCAAAGAAATATTAAAACAACACATTCACTTTAATCTCTCAGTGAGACGTTCGTGAAATAACAGTTTAATTTTGGAGCTGAAGAATGTTTTAGTTTTCAAAATGTTAGCAGAATTCACTCTGTGAAAGGTGGTTAATGTGTGTTGAAAATCTTGACAAATGTTCCACTCATGGAAACATGGGAAAAGATGAAGGACGACATTATTTTTCGTTACTGGAAACTTGGGCATAACAAAAGTGAAACGTGAATTCATTATATTGGATTTATGTGCTATTCCTGTATTGAATTAATGTGTCATTTCTGTGGATGCGATACAACGAAATGTAAGTACACGTTTACTTTAGTATTGTTTTTCAATTGATCTTTTAGATTCTTAAAAGAATTACATAAAATGTCCTCTACCACGGGATCTCCGTGATCAGCAGCACTTGCATGTTCACTTGCCTCTCATCGACACTAATATTCGCTAATATATTTTCATGTAAAGACATTTGAGTAATATGTTTTCGTCATTAATGTTAAAGGAACTTTAATACATATGTCAATGTTGAAATATTTACTTCTCGGGGCCGGTTTGGGTCAAATATCAGGGGCCAGTTCGGGTTAAATATCAGGGGCCGAATCGGCTTGGGGCCGGTTCGGGGGTAATTCTTGGTAAACATGGTAAAATCGTCAGAAAATAAGGTGGCGAAGGGATTTAGCTCACCGTCAACCAACCCAACAATTTGACATGGAGCAAAAATATATGTATATTCATGTAATATGATTTGACTTGAAGCCAGGGAAGTCACCCATTTTGTACAGTTAGTGGCTTCCTTTTCTATAACATTTCTAGTCTCCGAGTAATGGTGTGTTGATATCACTGCCAATATCCTATAAAATTTGTCAGTCATCTCAGAAGGCAACTTTCAAAATATATGATGGCATAGATATTATTAATGTTCCTTTAACCCCCTTGATGCCACATAGAAATAACCCGTGTGTTGTCGCTGTGCCTAGTTTATTTGAGCGAGACGTTATGAAAAATGCATACATTCGTCTAAAATGTATGTAAAACAGCATTAGTGTTACTCACAATGTTCAAAATCCACACTGTAAAAGTTCAATCAATTACTGTTATGAGTGATTGTATAGAGCTGTGCACAGCACACCAGAGCGAGGGGAGGGGGTAAGGAGCTGAGCATAGAATGAGCGAGTGATTTTAGGGGAGAGGAGCGGAGGAGAGTGAGTGGAGCAGAGAAGAGGAGAGCGAACGTGAGGATGGAAGTGGAGCTCTGTAGAGCGATTGAGTATTTTTCATTGGAGGTAACACCGTGTTGTATGGTATGATGAGCAATTCCTCCCGCATGAATCCCCTGCCTGGTCCATCCTTCAGATAATACAAATGGGGTTGGCCTCCTTTGATATCGATGCTGTCGCCACTCAGAGAAATGTTTTTTCCCACCATGTTTTGAATGGTCGTACAACAGCTTGCTCAGACTTTCGATTTGTGTATAGTGAAACTGACCCTCTTTTTCCACCTGGAATGTGTTGATCCTGGGAATGTGTTTGGGGGCATCACTTATTCTTAAACAGTTGCCTTGTTTAGTTTTGATGTTGAGTATGGCTTGTTTTTTCTTGAAATAGGGGGGCAAGTCGATGTTAGATCCCCCTTTGAGCGGCATGTAGTTTGCTATGTCGATATAGACGGTGTTGATACTCCCCACCACCTACCCGGTACCCCTGTGCGTCTATCATTCCAATGATTCCTGTATATTTTGCAGTGATGCATCGATGGTCGAATCGATCAAGGCAGGTTGGGTTATGACCTCCTGCTTGCTACATGCTCAGAGCTGTCATCCAACTATTGTTGTTTGTCGAGCGACATTTTGATGGTCAACTGGTATTTAATACTTTTTAAATGGTACAACTCTACCCTGTTCTTGCTGGCGATCAGCGGTTTGGCCTTATCGACGTTGATTTAGAATTCACTGCCATTCGCCAGCCTCTGAGATATTTACCCTGTAAATCTCAACTCCAAAGGTTTGCTGTCTTCCAGCAACTTAACAGTTGGGCTTTCCTTATTTGACTAAATCCAGTCAGCCCGTATTCCTTCGCTTGAGCTTTGAGTTTTCGCACAGTAACAGGTATGATGGGTTCGATGTTCAGCAATGTCAGCAATTCGGCCTTCCTCATACGAGAATAACCAGCCAATCCACATTCTCTCACAATCGCTTTGAGTGCTCTGACAGTAGGCCTAGTCATGGTCTCTATATCCAGCTGCAAAGTCAATGTCTAACTGATTCGCTATATCCACATGCAAAGTCAAATGTCTAACTGCTATAATCCACAGGATAAAACCAAGTGAGCGGTGGGCGAGTGGTCTAAAGCGCTGGGCTAGAAATCCAGCCATCACGGCTGTACACGGATCGAATCCTCGTTTTCAGAAAAAAATCTTTCTTCCTGTCGTAAATAAGTCAACCTCGAACCATGTCTGCTCTGTGGGCTTTGTACAAACCATAATGGCATTTCACTCCAATACCGCATATGCCGAACACATGTTGTTTCTGAATCCCTTTCTGATAGACATCACGTGTATTCCGCTGTCATCTGTCGTGCATTTCTTGTCGCAGGTCTCAGCTTTTCCCAGAGGCATGTATTTGCAACGATACAGAGCAGGTGTCATCTTTGTTATATATGCACCTAGATATATGTCAGTCTAATTGCTTATCTGTATGTTAGTCTATAATTGTTTAGGGATTAAGACTGTCGTGGCGAGGCCTAACACCATGAAGATCAACCCACGTTTTTTCTAACTCGGGGAAGGTGCGTAATATTGCGATGAGTTGGGCTCATCTTTGAGGGTTTCTAATTGTTTTCTCTTGACGACATAATACTCGTGCATGGCATCATTTACGTGATTAAACATTCCCACGGCGTGGCAATCTCGTTGGAATTGGTCGTGAATAAGATCCATTCTTTGCAGTCGTTTTTTTGCGTAATAGGCTTGTGCAGCTTGTAATTTCTTCACTCACAGTTTTATATACAACTAACTGAAAATCCTCCGTCACATAACGTCACTTCCAGTTCGCTGCAGTGCTCTGGGGTCAGAGTTACGTAACCTCTCTGTGGTTTCGTTGACGGGCAAGAGTGAAGCAGATGACTTTTTGGCAACTTTTAATCACTCGGTATTACTATAATTAACAACAAGTTTTTTTAAGAACGAAAATTCTGCTTAAGACTAACCACACGTCTTTCATATTGTAATGGTTAAAGAGTACAAAAACAAAAGTTTATTTTTTCTTTAAGGGAAGTTACTGTATACTTTGTGTCATTCATTGCCATGTGGGTTTGAAGAAGGCATGTTTTTGAGAAGAGAAAAGTAGAGAATATGGGTCTAACAAAATGGTATGTGTATATTTTAATTGTTAATATAATTTATCTTTGTGTGTGAGATATGGTAATGCCTAAAATATTTCTATTATATAAATTTTCCATGTTTTATTGCAATGTTTGATAAAGGTACTCAGTTTTCAAGCACTTGTTAATTTACTTCATTCAGTAAATTTAAAGTATACTTTGAAAGGTTAGGGTGTAGGTTCATTTAGTTATTCTTTCTAATGTTTAAGGTTAATTTCTAGATAATTTCTGAGCTGTTAATGTAAATATATTTCATCAATTTTTTTCATTTGTTTGCATTTTATTGACTATAATTTTCATAGATATGTAATACTGTAGGTACTCATTACTGTTTTTATACCCCCATTACAAAGTCCGTCCGTCCTTCCATCCCGAAACTTGTCCGGAGCATATCTCTTAAAGTTTCCATGCTAGGTTCACCAAACTTCACACACATGTTAATCATTACCCATTGATGTGCCTTTTGCTATTTTAAAGGTTTTTTAGAATTTTTTTTGTCGTTGTTTCCATGGAAACATGACTTGGTGCTAAATGTGTTTGATGGTTACCTGGCCACAGCATATCATCGAAACTATACATGCTAGGTTCACCAAACTTAATACACAAGTTACGCATGACCCACTGATATGCCATGTGCTAAAAAATAACAATCTTCATCCACGTCCACTTCATTGTGTGCAACAAGTTCAGTTGTATGTCAGGTTTCCACGGAAAACACCAAAAAAATAATGTTTCCATAAATTATTACTGTAATCTGTACGTGGCAAAACTATTAATTATCAGACATGTATATAAAGTTAAGTAGAGTCAAGGAGAAAGTCTTGTGAGCTGCTGATCCTTGTCACATTATATATATCAATATCAGTCATTTCCATGTCCAAAAGTGGGAAGGGGGAGCATGTGAGCTGTGCTCACTTCTACACTTCTTTGACCGCCTCTGTGGTGTAGTGGTTAGAGCGTCCGTCTGAAGAACGGAAGGTCGCGGGTTCAAACCCTGACCGCGTCATACCAAAAGACGTACAAATATGGTACTTGTTGGTCCCTGCCTGGAACCCGGCATTAATGGGTACAACAAGGACTGGTCGGCTCGGAGTCAGTATACTGTGTCTGAGTAGGGTATTCATGCTTCACTGCGGCATGGTATCACAGTGAGCTAGCACTATAAAACAGCTTCAGTCTGGGCTAGTACAAGCAGCCGCACAAGCATGCACGTCGTCATATGAGTGAAATATTCTCAAGCACGACGTTAAACCCAATTTCACCTCACCTCTACACTTGTTTGTTTTGTTTACAGTCAACCATTTCATTCTTCTGTTATGGAGAGGATTTGTCATGAGAATTATGAAGTTGAATATGTATGTCATGAACTTTGAATGTGAGAAGCGAAAACTAGCATATGAACTATGAATCTTGAGGATTATGAATTATGAGAATGAGAACTGACATATGAGACTTGGAATAAAAGGAGCAGACAATGAGATGAATTTTCATTTTGTTTACTACATTCCACATCGACCACGATCATCGGTTACATGGGGTCATATCGCTTACGTTATCACTTATAGAAAAGAATACTCTTGGCGTGTACATATTGAAAGTATAATGTAGTGCCTTTTATACATTCAACATGTTTGTTACGCTCCCGGGAATAACGAATGGTGAGCCAGTTCAACTTCTTCATGCTATTGATAACATGTTGGGACAACTCGAAGCAGCTCTCCGCGATCTCATGTATTGCCTGTCGTGGACTAACTAACATCAATAGTGACAGAAACAACAAGAAGCAATTTATCATTGAAAACCGCCACATTTTGTCTGCCGGTTACTATAGCATTTGTTCGCTGAAAGATGAAATATTTAAACCTCGAGCAGCCAGCCTCAAACTTAATGACTTGAACAGAACGCTGACATTAACCAGGGAGAAAAAACCCTTAAAACTCGGCAGGTCCTTGGTGAAAACACTCAGGTTACAGTCGAATGAATTACAGCCCCAAACCACCGTGACAGGCTAGAAATTACCCGATATAGTTCCCTATCAAGAGCTGTGCATTCATATCGATCAGATAAGCACCACCAGTAATATTCAAGACGAACGTCCTTTGATGCTGTTGAGAGCTGTTGCGGTGGAAGATGAGACGTACAACAGTGGTTGAACCGAAACTTTCCCCTATTTACAGTACAAAAAGTTAATACGGGGTATAATCCTGAAACTCAAAGTGTCCGTTTTAGATATAAAACACCAACCCGTACATAAAGGTTATCTGAGCGTGAGAACGTAAGAAAGACCAGGAACGCTTCTTGACATGGTAGGCATCGTGTTAGAAAATGCGCTAACATAGGGCTCTCTGATTTTGGGGGACACTGAAGGATTCGACGACCCTGGTGTCAAAGGCAAGTTGTATGCCTAAGAATTAAAAAACAACATTTACAAGCAAAAAGAAGTTACAGACACCACCTGGCAGCGGTAACCTTGGAGATTTAAAAGATGTTGAGACCGGGGGAACTTGTAAACAACACTTAATGAAATCTAGTCCATAACAACAACGATAAATGGGTGATGGTTGCAGCATTCAACGGTGGTAACCTAGATGATTTAAACGTTGTCGAGACCAGGGGGTGTCTCCAAAAACCGTTGTACCATCTTGTGCGCACCGACGATAACAAATGGATGTTGATCTCGTCCCAAATCGACTGGCTGCTCGATATCAACATAGTTTCTGCATACCTGTTTACAGAGAATAAGGATCATTACGTGACTAAAGTCATCAATAATGGGATTGTGCTGTGAGCTTACGTCCCCTCGCAAAGAAGGAGTGTACTCGTGAACGTCATCATGAGAAAACCAAGTCACATGCTGTCGAGTAAACCGTCATCAAAGATATGTTGACTGTATTAAAAGGGATTCCACCCAATACGATGCTATATATCAATGTCTTCCTCGGAGACCCCACACCTGATCTTGAAATCATGATGGGAGCCAAACTCTGTTGAACTCAAAACGCATTAAAATCACGTTTTCGGTTTACATTCAGAGAGACACAATGACTTACCTGAGCCTCAAAGGGGTCACCGTGACCTTGGAGAAAAAAACTGCGCTCACCAAAATTTTCTTACCCACGAATATACGTCTCATCAGGTTAAAGTTTATTCGCAAGAGATTGTGGGAAAATCAATTGAAGACTATTTTGTAAACTATATTAATATAATGAGTGATATCGCGGACAAACATCGCATCACAAAATGCGCTACCATCACGCTCTCCGATCTCGGAGACACATGAGGATTCTATAAACCCAGTGTCGAAGACACGTTGTATGGCTTGCGTTTAAAAAATGTGTACAAATGGCAAGAGGTCTTACTGGAATCTAAATTTGACTGGTTAATCAATATTACCCTTACCAACCCATATCTCGTTTTCGAGGATCATGATGGTTATGTTACTAAAATAAACAATAATGGGATTTTAATCGGGTATCTTTATGCTCCTGTAGGCAATATTCACTTGCTAGCAATACCGAATAAGACAGGCTACATGTCAACGAAAGTAGAGTAATAATATATACTTCATTTTTTAACATAGAATTTTTTTTTTCTCCAGTTGGAAGTTAGGGGTGGAACAAGGCTCTACACTTGTTATTGATGTCTTTCTTAGAGATGCCTCCACAGAAGATATTCAACTTTTTGATGGGCTAAAGATATGATGGAGTAAAAAACATGAACAACAGCATTGTCAAATTTATATACGACCAGGACCAACCACTTTTACTAACCTCGAGGGGGTTGTTGTTATTGAAGAACCTAACATATCACTCGAGAATTTGTACTTATCTAGAAATTTCTGCATCATAAGCTATAAGTAGACCAATAAAAGATTGTCAGATGTCTATTTGAAGATTATTTCACAACATATATTATAAAAGATGGGATTGTATCCAGCAATTGATGTAGTAGCTGAAAAGTTGGAAAGCGTGGACGATTTTGTTTATGACAAATAAGTGACAGATAACACAAAAGGAACAGGGACTTACGGCTAGGATTGCATAAAAAGTGTCACAGAGCCGTGAACGCTGTCGATCGTGTGGACACTGTGCTCGTAGCAGTCAGCATGGGGCTAGGTGCAGTTTATTATCCACCATCGTGGCCGCACCAGTCGTGCTAGGCATGAAAATAGCGTCGTGAGTTTCAGGGTTGGCAATGGTGGCTCTTAAATTCATTTCACGCCAGCTGCAAAATAAAGCATTAAAACATGACAAGATTCGCGTTCTAGCCGAGGCCGAAGATGAATACTATCGAGGATCGTATCTCCACTGCCTATCCAACAGTAAGATATTAAATAATCTCATAGTCATAGAGCAGGGCAGACAAGCATTCCTTTCCAAAACCAAAGAGATAATAGGAGATTGACGCTGAAGTGTTTCCTTGATATCAATTTGTTTCACAATTAGACAAACTTATACATGTGCAATCAATTCCTTGAGGTGGAAAACAAAAAACTTTCGATTGATAGATGAAAACGATGTTGATAAACTCGTTTAAGAGTGTGGTCCTTCAAAAAGTACCACATTTTAATATATATAAATATGGGACAGCGAACGATGGTCGATGCCGGTTTCCTTAGTTTTCGACCATTGGTGGGGCATTATTTGCAGCCGTACCAACATTGTGTGTACTACTAGTACAGGAGAGTGAGTTTAGAGGAGCAGAGCAGAGTGAGCAAGTGGAGGGGGGCAGAACACAGCAGAGTGAGTGAGTGGAGTGGAGGGGAGCACAACAGAGAGTGATTTGAGGGGAGCGGAGCACCGCAGAGAGTGATTTGAGGGTGCTGAGCAGAGAAGAGTGAGTGGATGGGAACGGAGCACAGCAACGTGAGTTGATGGGAATGGAGCACAGCAGAGCTAGTGATTTGAGGGGAGTGGAGCAGAGAATAGAAGAGTGAGTGAGTGGATGGGAACGGAGCACATGAAAGCGACTGAGTTGACGGGAGTAGAGCAGAGCGAGTAAGTGGATGAAAACGGTGCACGGCAGAGTGAGTGAGTGGAGGGAAGCGGAGCACTGCGAAGTGAGTGAGTGAAGGGGAACACAGCACAGCAGAGGCAGTGAGGTGAGGGGATGAGAACAAGTGAGTTGATGGAGTGGAGCCATTTAAACGGTATTATTGTGTAATATTATCAGGTAATTAAATTGATCACAGATTAGATGTAATTATGTTTATATGGAGACATGTTTGAATTATTTCAATGCAGTGTTTTTATGCTGTAGGTATGCTGATGACAAAATTGGGGTATATTCATTGTTTTTAACCAATCTTACACAGTGGTGTATTTCACATGTACACCGGTTTGCAAGACATCTATTTGTTTTTTGTTTTGTCAAAATAATGAATTATTCATAACCCGTAAATATGTAACGTCAGTAAAAGTTTGGATAATAAACAGCTGAATGCAATTCATTGTGAGACTATAGAGAGGATAATTATACATCCCTTCATTGGCATTTTCCATACTGAATATTGAAAATCACTCAAGTGTGCTGTGTGTGGGAAGACAAGTTTAAAGTTTCAGGTTTGTTATGATACAATATGTCACACCATCTTATTGTGTTTGGACCCTAACCTAGTTGTAAGAGCGTGACAACCTTTCTTATGTTTTCAGTAAACACCATAACATCCACAGGTTAATGATGAAAGTTGACCCAAACCTATACAATTCACACTCAAGTAATTGATTCAACAGAAAGGTATGATGTAGGGGTCAAATTTGGTTTATATATCAAAGCCTATTGTTAGCATGGATGCAAGTTTTGAATATGTCACTGCATCTTGTGGATCCAATAACTGCTATTGACAGGTCTTGTGTACTTGTCAATGACCTGTGTTGTAATTTGCAAAATGGTAGAATGGTGCCATGAAAACCATTTTTATGGTTACTCATGTATCAAGTGCATACGGTTAGCTTATAGTAGCTGTTCTCCTAAAGATGTGTTACCATGTCATTATTTATCCAGTTTTAAATGGATACAATTTCAAATTATATGTATCTATGTTAAACTAAGGTAAAGTTGCAAAATTTTGTGATCCTTAGCAAAGTGTGAGTAGAATAGTTGTTATAAGAGAGTGACAATGTTTCTTATGTTTTCAGTAAACATCATAACATCGACAAGTTAATGATGGAACTTGAAAGCAACCGACAGAATCCTTTCTCTGTCACTAAAACAAATGAAATCTGTTAAAGGGATTTGCTAGAAACCTCAAGAAACATTTATTGACACCTTGGAAATAGGTGATCTCATGAAAGAACCAATTATTGGAATCCTGGAAATAGTTTCCTAATGGTTTGGAGAATCACCAAAACGACAAAACAGTCTCGTGCATGTTGTGAAAGCCTGGAAACATTTTCTAAATCAGAGAGTTGAAAAGATGCGTTCTCTGTCACAGTGGCGTCAAGACTTTTGAGTGTGCTGGATGTGAGAAAACATTCACACTATCAGCTTATCTCCAGACACACATGGAGATTCACAGCAGAGTCAAGCCTTATGAATTTTTTTGGGAATGTGGGAAAACATTTACATGATTATATACTCTTAATGCACATATGAGGATTCACAGTGGAATCAAGTCTTATTAAATGTGGGAAACAATTTACACTATCAGGTACTCTTTGGGAAACACATGAAGATTCACAGTGGATTCAAATCTCATTAGTGCATTGTGTGTGGGAAAACATTTACACAATCAGTTCATCTGCAGAGACACATGAAGATTCACAGTGGAATCAAGCCTTATAAATGTGAGGAATGTGGGAAATAATTTACACATTCATGTGCTCTAGAGAAAAACAGGAAGATTCACAGTGGAATGAAACCTTATCAGTCCATTGTGTGTGTGAGAAACATTTACACAAACAGTTTCAGGATTCATACAGGAATCATGCCTTATGAATGTAGAGAATGTGGAAAAGAATTTACACAGTCCAAAAGTCTCCAAGCACACATGAGAACTCACAGTGGAATCAAGCCTTATGAATGTGTTGAATGTGGGAAAAAATTTAAACAATCAAATATTCTGGGGACACACATGAGGATTCACAGTGGAATTAAGCCTTATGAATGTGGTGAATGTGGGAAAAAATTTACTCATTCAAGTTCTCTTCACAAACACATGAGGATTCACAGTGGAATTAAGCCTCATGAATGTGTTGAATGTGGGAAAAAATTTACACAATCAGGCAATCTGAAGGCACACATGAGGATTCACAGTGGACTCAAGCCTTATGAATGTGTGGAATGTGGGAAAAAATTTACAGAATCAGGCCATATGCGGTCACACATGAAGATTCACAGTGGAATCAAGCCTCATGAATGTGTTGAATGTGGGAAAAAATTTACACAATCATGCCATCTGCAGATACACATGAGGATTCACAGTGGAATCAAGCCTTATGAATGTGAGGAATGCGGGAAAAAATTTACACATTCAGGTCATTTGCAGTCACACATGAAGATTCACAGTGGAATCAAGCCTTATGAATGTTTTGAATGTGGGAAAAAATTTACAGATCCAGGTAATATGCGGGCACACATGAGGATTCACAGTGGAATCAAGCCCTTTGAATGTGTTGAATGTGGGAAAAAATTTCACCATTCAAGTACTCTAAAGACGCACATGAAGAGTCACAGTGAAATGAAACCTCAACAATGCATTGTGTGTGAGAAAACATTTACACAATCAGTTTATCTGCAGGAACACATGAGAATTCACACAGGAATCATGCCTTATGAATGTGGTGCATGTGGGAAAAGATTTACACTTTCCAAATGTCTCCAGGCACACATGAGAATTCACAGTGGAATCAAACCTTATGAATGTGCTGAATGTGGGAAAAAGTTCACATACTCAAGTAATATGCGGACACACATGAGAATTCACAGGGGTATCAAGCCTTATGAATGTGTTGAATGTGGGAAGACATTTACACAATCAAGTGGTATGCAGAGACACATGAGGATTCACAGTGGAATCAAGTCCTATGAATGTGTTGAATGTGGGAAAAAGTTTAAAGATTCAGGTAGTCTGCAATCACATATGAAGATTCACAGTGGAATCAAGCCTTATGAATGTGTTGAATGTGGGAAAAAGTTTATCTATTCATGTAATCTGCAAACACATATGAGGATTCACAGTGGAATTAAGCCTTATGAATGTGTTGAATGTGAGAAAAAATTTAAACATTCAAAGAGTCTGAAAATACACATGAGGATTCACAGTGGAATCAAGGTTGATGAATGTGTTGAATGTTAGAAATAGTTTACAAATTTTTAAATCTTATCCTATCTCATAGTTTGTACTACACAATCGGGCAATCTGCAAACACACATGAGGATTCACTGTGGAATCAAGCGCTATGAATGTGTTGGCTGTGGGGGAAAAATCACACGGTCAATGTGGGACAGAAGTTAGACAGTGAGGTCATCATCGAAAACACAGGAGGATTCACTGTGTAATCTAGCAGTGAAGACTGTTCACTGTGTTGGGTTTGGTAAAGGATGTACAACTGTAGACACCTGTAGAAACACATGAGAATTCAAAGTGGAATCCTGTCTTAGCAATGTGTTGAATGTGGGAAAACATTTGCACTGAATCAACTTATTGTTGTGTTTTAGTGTTATGTATATAAAATTAACAGTGCATATATTTCATCATACACCTTTATATTCTCATGCCAGCAAGTGCATGTTTTACCACCAACTAAATCGTAGTAAAATATCATCTTTTGTTGAATAAAATTGCGATTGCCATCATGTTTGTCCTGTCATAAATGTCATGGTCAAGCGCATAAATGTCATTGACAGTGGCTACACCATAGAGAAAATCAAGTTTTATAAGGTAATTACTTTCTTACCTCCTACCTCGTGTAGTAAACGTTGTCAGCATAGGGTACATAGTGCTTCTAGAAACTTTAACCTGAGAGAAATTTACTAATGATAAACAAGTAGAGCTGAGAGATATAATATTAGTATTTTTCCATCTCAGGCATACTTGCTTGAATAAACGCAAGATACTCAACGCTCTCTCCTCTCTTGTTTCAAGGTAAGAAACGTTTAAACTTAATTTTTGTTTGTGTCTAACTTGTTATTTCTTTGTAAATATCGTCTAGAAAATGTGAGAGTTAATTTAGATACATTCCTACGATATTGAAGCATTTTTCGAAATACCTACCATTGTAAATGATAGTTTATGATAAGAGATTAATTCTTAGGCACTGTCTAGTGATGTCTAACCACATTGGGTCGTGGGCACCTCAAGTTTTATGTTTTTCATGTGCATACGAATATCTCTTCCCAATGTTTTGACACACGTGTATACATATTGCTAGTCTTTCTCTAGTTTTCTTCGTTTTGTGCGTAAGATCTGTATATGCAGGTTAGATTCTCGTTCAGTAGCCTAGATTCCAGTAGCTTAGTAACAAAACCAGTTCAAGAATTTATACAAGTATTTTGAGCAATGATGAAGTTGTAGGTAGATGAGTTATTCGGTATTTTACAAATACGATAGTTCACTGATGAAATAAAATTCAGTCGATTTACCTCAGATACCCGCCCACAGAACAGATTACAACAGCCAACATTTGTATTTTGATATTTAACTAACATGAATAATTATTTGAAAATAATGATATGAAACGTCCCGTTTCCGTGCAGTTGTGTACCGTACAAAATATCAACATCATCATTCGAAACACATTTACCGTAGTCACCCAATTAATCCAGGATAAAAAGAAATAATTTCAATAGATTCATTTTTTTTGTAGTATACGAACAAAGAAAGGCTAATTATCCAAATCTAGTCAATCAGTGGGGGGGCTTTTGTACACCTAGTTGTATACCGTACAGAACAGTTTATACGCAAATCCCATTACCGTAATCATTAGTAAATGGTATTGTCTTCTCAAATTACCTGAAAATATCCATTAGTATAGTTTAAGTATACAATTCCAGTCTTCATTCTCTCTTACTTAGCTCAGTAAATTTAAGAAATATGTGTAGTCAATGACAACAGCGCCGTCCTAGTGCATTATTATAGTCATTTTTTAATGATTTAAATAACTTATTGTCTTGTTTTGTAAAGCACAAAATTGTACATTCCGACATCTGTTGTTTAAGTATAGAATTACAGTCTCATAATGTATTCTACCTTAGTTGATTAATTCCGTAAATATTGAAATTGCACGTTGCCAATAGCAACTTACACTAGTCATAAATCCTTCCCGTAGTTAATGCATTAAGCGCCATTATGGTCATTAATCCCTACCGTAGTTAACGCCATGGGTACTACATAACCTAATTGGTATAACCCCTCACCGCAATTAAGGCATTAGGTACAACATACCGCAATAATCATAATACTAATACTAACTAATACTAATAGTCATAAATCCTTCCCTCAGTAATGTGTTAGGTTTAATATACCGTAGTAGTCATAAATCCTTACAGTAGTTAGAGGTCACATGCAACCAAGAAAACAAACATAATTAAAACACAATTATCACTTATTCATGACATAATATACATAGCTGATCATGAAAAAACACATGAACAAAATTATAAGCGTACAATCGCAGATCAAAAGTGCAATATTTTATTCTATGGTTTACTTCCCTCGAAACAAAGCAGCCGGGATACCGAACCCAGTCAGAGCGGGTGGGCGTGCACTTAAGTATAACGAAGCCTTTCATTGGATGGTTCATTTGCCGATACGCTCAGGGCTCATTTTGTGTGTATAACATTTTGCAATCAACAGACACCATAACATGTCATGTGTACAAGTATCACACCTGCCTGTCTGTGTAATTACATAATGTGACAGAGACATAACTTGGGTGCACGAGCCATAAATCAATTCGTTTTGTTTATGGTGTATAGCTCAAATTGCATGTATATTGCATATTGTCATTAGCAGACAGGCAGACAGACAGATTTTCACTGTGCATGCGCCATGAGCGCAGTGCAGCGCAGCACAGCTGTTGAAACCACTTTTCACCCATGCTAGGGTGAATTTAGTGAATCGTTTAAACTACGATTTCGCGAGGGGTTTTTCATCGCGTTATTTTTCAACTTTATATGTTGAATTTTCATTTTTGATCATTTGTTACTCTAAGTCCATACCGAAAGGTATCAGAATCTGCAAAGTTGTATTTTACGTTGCATGTGACCTTTAACAAACTAGGCACAACATGCTGCAATTGAATTGTAAGGCGCTCCACTCCCTACTTGTCCTCTGCAGTTGTTGTTGATGATTAATTTATCCATGAGGTTATGTTATTTATCAGTACCATAGATACCCAAGGAAATTGTTTGTATTATGTTTCTGTAAGCAGTTATCGTATATATTCTGTTATACAACATATTGCTTATATTATCTGACTTAGATTGAAATTTTAATAGGACATCAATGAATATTTTTGTATGTCATTTTTATGTATGAATTGATGCATTTGGAATGGTATGTTAGACACTTGCTTGAATAAACCCAAGTAACTCACAGCTGTCTTCTTTCTTGTTTCAATAGCTAATTCCCCAAATCAAGGCCTGACAGCACATTTAGCATTCAACCAAGAAAATCGCGTTATTTTTCAACGTTATAAGTTGAATTTGCACTTTTGCTAATTTGTTACTGTACATCCATACCGAAATGTATCAGAATCTGCAATGTTGTGCTTTACGTTGCATGTGACCTTTAACGCTAAAGATCGTCTGAACCGACGCAAAAGAAGTTTTCTTAATTACATAGCAATGTGTAAGATGATTAAAGTTATCCAGTGTTAATTTGGGGTAACTTGTAGAAATTCAAAGCATACAGTCCAAACTTACATAACATGGAAAATGTGGAACACAACAAATATGGGCTGAGACTCACGTCTCTAATGAGTATCTCACTGCCATTGTATCTTTCCGTTTTATTGAGCGAGTTTTGTTTTACACCACTTTTGGCGATATTCCAGGCGTAACATGGCGTTGAACACCAGAAATAGGCTTGTCACATCGTATCCACGTGGGGATTTAACCCGGGTCTTCTACCCCTCCGCTACTTTTGCGTATATTATGAATATAAGATCGAATGGCATGCACCTCGCTTGCATTATTTATTCTTAAGTATTTAATCAAAGGTTAAATTTTCATAGCACATGTCAGAGCACGAGTATACTGTCTACACCAGGGGCCTTATTCTTATCAAAAGTTCAAGAGTATACTGTCCACACCACCATAAATATGCACTTATTCCTAAATAAATCTGTTAAACAAACTTTTCATGACATCGCTTCAAGACTGCAAACTGGATTACGTCATTCCAGGGACTCAATCAGTGTATGGAGTGAGGGAGTGAGTGAGTTTGGTTTTACGCCTCTTTCTGCAATATTCCAGCAATATCACGGTGGGGGACACCAGAAATGGGCTTCACACCAGTATATGGAACTTAGGTAAAACCAAAATAAGCCGTAATGGTTGGTTAATAGTTGATTAGGATTTTACTTTGGTCAGCATGGGCTCAAATGGGTCAGTCAAAGGTTTCGATCACTGTCAAGTGCCGTTTTACCTTTCTTCACTTTTGAGAGACTATCGTTCTGAGTCTATTTCCAAGGACTCATAATTTATTAAAACAGATATACATGGCTGACAAATAATATATGTGACAAATGACTTGCCATGCATGTGTGTGCGTTTGTGTGTGCATGTATGTATGTGTCTGTATGTATCTGTGCATTTCTGTACTACAGAAAAAATACAACCGTGAATACCACACATTTTACATGGTTAACCAACATAACATCTGTAAATGTTGCCTACACTCATAGATATGATTTGCTGATAAAGATTTTGTTTTTTCCAGTGGTTAGGTTATGATTGTGGGTAAATGCAACACGACATTTAAGAAACAAAAGATTTCAAGGAAGACGACCATCTCTTGTTCCATCTTGCAGTAATTCTCCACACTGTTGATTGACCATCATCCATTAGTTCTACTAACCGTTAAATATCACCCAGTAGTTTCCCAAACTGTCAATCATCACCCAGATCTTCCACCAACTGTCGACTATCAACCAGTAGTTTTCCCCACTGTAGATCATCACGTGGCAGTTTAGGCGCGGTTATGGTCTGTGCATATAAAATGATGGCCATAACAGTTTGGTTTGGTTTGGTAGCTCAGACCCACAACGAGGCTAAATCCATAATGACCCCCCTTCCCTAAAAACAAAATTTTCCAAAAATGTGAATTCCAAGCTTTGATCGTGAGTAAAGTTCAGCAAATAGGTTGGAAATAAAGAAAAGGAGGTAAAATGGTGCTAACGTGATTGAAAAGATTTAATCAATATCAAGTTGTGTTACTTAATACCTTTAATCAATTTTTAAGAATCAAAATTGTAAGTTCAAAGAACATTTACAAAAGACAAAGAGTGAGAGTACCTTCAAGTTCCTTAATTTCTGCAATGATAGTCACTGTTCCGCTTCATAAAGATCAGATTTATCAGGGTCAATGGTCCTCGCATACCATATTGTCAGAAGTCTGGTTCCGACATGTCACAGTGCATTTCAGTTCACTGGGAAGGCACTGGCAACTAGTGAGTTTTCACACTGTTGTGTACTTGCAAGAAATGAACTCAAGCACAGCATCTGAAGCAAGAGGTCCTGTCATCCAGCAAATCGCTACGCGACCAGTTTCCTCCACCTATCGATGACCATCTGCTGTCCGTTGAGTTGTATAATTATTCAGCTTCTAGACACTTGCTCTAAACTGCAGCTTGATAGTTTGCTCTCGGGATGTGCATAGATAGACAATCAAAGCAGGGCGGAAAATATCCTTATTCAATTGCCCCTGTTCTCAATTCAAATAAGTGGTAGCGCAATGGATTGACATCCCTTATTGAAGAACTTGAGTGATAATTGACGGTTGATGGTACTACTGGGTGATAATCAATGGTTTTGGGAACTCCTGGATGGTGATGAAAAGTGTGAGGAACTAGTACATTATGATCAACAGTGGCTGGAACTACTGGATGCCGATCAACATTTGGGAGAACATCTCGATGATGGCAGGCGATTGTTGGAACTCCTGGGTGATGATTGACGGTTGTTGGATCTCCTGGGTGATGATTGACGGTTGTTGGATCTCCTGGGTGATGATTGACGGTTGTTGGAGCTCCTGGGTGATGATTGACGGTTGGTGAAACTCCTGGGTGATGATTGACGGTTGGTGAAACTCCTGGGTGATGATTGACGGTTGGTGAAACTCCTGGGTGATGATTGACGGTTGGTGAAACTGCTGGGTGTTGTTTGACGGTTGTTGAAACTGCTGGATGATGATCAAAAGTGGGAAAAACTGCTGGGCGATGACCGACATTTTGTAAAAAGTATACGTTATGGTATATTTAGACTTCAGGGTCCCGTTCCACAAACCGATTGTAGCTCTACGACTGTCATAAGTCTATGTTAAAGTATGGGATTTACGAACATCTTAGCTCTACGACAGTCATAAGTCTATGTTAAAGTATGGGATTTACGAACATCTAAGCTCTACGACTGTCATAAGTCTATGTTAAAGTATGGGAGTTACGAACATCTTAGCTCTACGACTGTCATAAGTCTATGTTAAAGTATGGGAGTTACGAACATCTTAGCGCTACGACTGTCATAAATCTATGTTAAAGCATGGGAGTTACGAACATCTTAGCTCTACGACTGTCATAAATCTATGTTAAAGCATGGGAGTTACGAACATCTTAGCTCTACGACTGTCATAAGTCTATGTTAAAGTATGGGAGTTACGAACATCTTAGCACTACGAATGCTTGTCGGAACTGGTACTACTGGGTATACTGACTGACTGAGTTTGGTTTTACGCCGCTTTTAGCAATATTCCAGCAACATCACGGCGGGGGACACCAGAAAATGGGCTTCACACATTGTACCCATGTGGGGATTCGAACCCGGGTCTTCGGCGTGACGAGCCAACGCTTTAACCATTTGGCTACCCCACCGCCCCACTACTAGGTATAACTCTGGGTCTTTCAACTATATTCAGACCGAGTGATTCGGCGAATCACCTAAAGTCCTCCTGAAAAACCTTCCGAACACCGCAAGTCAGAAGAAGACCAGCATTGTGTGATAGTTCTAGATATTCATCCTCGGACTATTTCGGAAACGTGACTATTGTTGCAGTAAAGTGAATATTATTGCTGAATCACATCTTCAGTATTATATTGGCTTTGGATTCGTACAGCAACTATTTGCTAGGTATCAACTCGATCTGTCAACAAATGAAAAATATGATATTGCTAACCGTCGGACGAATAAAAAAAACCCGTCATTGAGTGTCGACATTGCGTGACGATGTTAATCAATTAAACAGAATGTTTGCTTAGTGATTTGCAAGTGGATATGATGGCTATGCTCATATCATACAGTCACTATTTGCTACTGCCACTGAAATACCTTTGTATTGTTTATATTCATTGACATTTTACTTTCAACTTGGAAATCAGCAGGTAACAAGACCTATAAGACGTTGATGGCGGGCAAGTTGATTGACAGGTC